AGGAGGACGCTCGACAAGCTCTCGCTCTCCGACCAGTAAGTAGTACCGCTTATTCCAGACCCTCAGTAAGTTATCGAAGTGTGCTTTCTGTCTGGACTGGAAATGCTATTAGCTGGGCTATGGGTGGGGCAAATACGTTGCCGAAATCCGTATGAACTCGTCTCAATGGTTTCACCTTCCGAGCGCTGACAGCTGCTGCTCCTTCAATGTACATACACGTATGTATGCACGAATGTATATGTCGTCGATAAAGTTCTCGGACTTGTTCGACACAACAAAACGAAGCAGGGTCTACGGTGGCGTTTGTGTGTCTCCGGGATTGGTGGCATTGCCAGTGGCAGCTCTTGGTATTGGTATTAGGGGCAATTTTGGGAGGTGTTGGGTGCTCGACCGCGCAAATGAGAAGACGCCGTAATTATAACTTTGGAAGACCTGTCCTATGATCGATTGCGGTCGCTTATTTTCGGGCCACCTGACACTGGGCACCTGCCACCTGTGATCCAAGGCCTGATACCGGCGTCTGAATGTTCCCAGCGCAGGCGATTGGTGAGGCGTGCTCGGGCGTCGAGGACGATGAAAGCCTGAACAGGGAGAAGTCGATCGTCGTTGGAGCCCTCGTAACCCCCTCCCAGTCATCCCTACCCTCTGGTGACCAGTTTGTCGTCTGCGTGGCAATCCGGTGCACTTGAGCTACGCTTGATATAATTAACACAAACCCCGGATCTGTGACGGAATCTGTGCAGAGAGGCTCGGCTGACAATGGTCACCGGGGACATGCAGGGCAACGCAGGTCGTGGACGAGGCGTGGCTCCCGCACGCGCTCGAGGGTCGCGCCGCCGCGATGCCCAAAAGAGGAGAAACGGTCGCCAAAGAGGGCAATTAGGCTCAGGCACGGGGTTTCCCGGCGGTACGAAGATCGCGGACCTTGAAACGCGGCCGGAAAAGGGAAGAAAATGGCGTGCTCGTGGGAGCCCACTATTCTGTCCGCACGGTAGCTTTGCGTGCGCTTCGATTCGAATTCGTCTTGATCCTACTGGCTCTGATAGGCGCGAGAGCCCATTTTCCTCCGCGGACTGTGGCGCTCCTCCTAACTACGGCGGTCGACGGTGGGCGCACGGGTCACTCGTCGTCATTGTCAGCGTTAGTGCTCTATTCTGGTCATGTGCGGCCCAGACCGGGGATGACTCAAAAGATGCGGGAAGAATCGGGAGATGGTAGCGCCGATACACAAGGATACACTGCCCGCTCGGAACGTATAAAAGAAATCTGAGGCGGTATGCTCGGGGTAGCCTTGCTTCATTGTTCGAGTCTACTCAAGCTCAACCCTCAACCACTTCACATAGACTATCATGATCGCGACCTCGGTACTAAGGACCGCATCGCACACCGCACTTAGGCGCTCGGTGCCTGGATTGGCATATGCTGCCACCACGCGCGGGGCGCTCTTCACGCCTGGCCTTGGAGGTGCTTCACGCAGGCACATATCGACGACCAAGCAGGCGGACCAGAAGGTCTCTTCCCCGCACAACCGTGAGTAACCCTGGGACATTTTTATCTTTCATCTTCTCACAAATTCCGACGTGCTTCACAGAAGAGTCTTCACCCACGGAGCACCTGACCCGACATGATGCGGTCAGCACCGTCCCCGAGAAGGTCCACGGGGACTGGGTCCTCTTCCATCCTGTCTACTCCCCGGAAGAGCTCAAGGCCGTCGAGGTATGCCCGTTCAACCCCATTCCACATCCGATTTCTGATCTAGCGAACTTGGTGTTCTAAAAGGTTCTGCACCGTGAAACCAAGACGCTCGGAGATAAATTAGCTCATGGCCTTGTTATACTCGCCCGCAAGATCTTCGACCTCGTCTCGGGGTACAAGCACATAGAGGGGCCTCCTGACCCCGGCATGACCATTGCGGAGCTGCGGAAGGCGGGCTATCTGCTGAGTGATAAGCAGTGGCTCAACGTGAGCTTCAGGATACTGTAAGGTCACCGTTCGTTTTGTTGATCTAGGCTTTCGTTCCAGCGTATCTTGTTCCTCGAGAGCATCGCCGGTGTTCCTGGTATGGTAGCGGCCACCCTTCGCCACCTTCAAAGTTTGCGTCTGATGGTGAGCGCGGTTTATTCGTCTGTTCGGGCTGATGTTGATTCATTTGTCTCAGCGTCGAGATAGCGGATGGTTCGTTAAGAACATTCTCTGGCTTCTGCCTTTTTACTCATATGCTTTGCAGGATTCATACGTGTTTGGAGGAGGCTGAGAACGAGCGGATGCACCTCATGTACGCCATATCCCCCCTCCGTACATATGAGCTGACGTCATCCATGACTAGGACCTTCATGACACTGCGCCAGCCTTCCATCTTTTTCCGAGCCATGGTGCTGGGTGCTCAAGGCGTTTTTTACAATCTATTCTGTAGGCGTCACGTTCCCACCGTGCTAATGATTTAAGCTCATTCATTGTATAAGTCTTATCCTATATAATTTCGCCTAGAACTGCCCACCGATTCGTGGGCCACCTGGAAGAGGAGGCCGTCCTCACCTAGTACGTTTCGCCTTTCATGCCCAACAAGAACCTCGAAGCTAAGTGACCGACCCTTTAGTACCCGAGCCATCCACGAGCTCGAAGCTGGTAAAATTCCGGAATGGTGCGTACGGTTAATATGCCTCTACGTGACTGTGGGCTCATGACGCTACTTAGGACTGGCCATCCTGCTCCGGAAATTGCGATTGATTACTGGAGGTTACGTCCTGATGCAAAGCTCCTCGATGTCCTCTACGCAGTCCGGTCCGACGAGACCACCCACCGCTTCGTCAACCACAGCCTGGCCAACCTAAACCCTGCTACGGATGTCAACCCCTTCGCTCTCCGCGAGCCCAACATGCTCGTGAAGGGCACCAAGATTGAGTATGCGCATTTACAATGTTTCGTTGAGATATTTTTGCTGACTTTTTCATAGGTTTGACCGCGAAGAGGCCGAGCAATACGTTCGCGAATCGCATAAAATCATACAGCGCCCTCATCAGATGTCCGATAGTCATTAAATTTCTCTCTTTCACATTTTTCACATGTCTATGCAAGCATCTTCATCCATCCATTCCTCCTCCCTTTCATCCTCATACCAATACAATTCGTAGTAATGTGCCGCACGCTCGGACTTTATTTATACCTAGAATACCTTACGAACCACTGCTCCCGCCCTTCAAAGAAGGATTTCCATCCTAGCCCACAGATAATTCTGTATCTCTCGTTGTATATAGTTTTGTAAGTAATTGCTAGTAGCAGCGGAGAAACTGACAAAATAGGAACGATGAGATCAGCGTTTGACGTTTGATCCTTGGCGCACTTCGATCTATTTATGGATTGGGTATGACAACGAGTGGAGTCCGCCGACTAGCTTGTCCTTCATTTCTTGCTTTCGCCTTCCACCCATCTTCATGTCGGATGGCCTCTACCTCTAACCGTGGCGGTAGTCAAACCTTACCAAGCCAAAGCTTTGCTCAGCCAAGCCTCACCGAGACAAGCCATGCTCCACAAACACGTATTTTCGTTGGACCCATGCCCGAGCGAGTGATCGCGCAAAGCGAGGCTCAACGGAAGAGGGCAAAGCTAACTCTGGGCAGTGTGTTCTCCTTGACCTTGGAGCCGGATAGGACCCACAACGGAGATAGGAGCGAGGAAGTGACCCGCCTTCTGAAGGAAAACGCTTTTCGGTTCTTTCTGCACGGAGGTGGGCATGCCGAGGACTGGGGAGAAGACGAGGAGCAGGACGTGGTCGACGATCTGGTGAAGCGCTGGAAGGAGAGCGAGTGGGGCCAGCTCTGGAGTCGGCGACACCACCAACTCAAGAATCAGCCTGGGCAGCTGTACGCTGGGGGGACCCAATGGTTTGGGACGAGCTTCGAGATTGGGAATCTCATGGGCGTCAATATTCTCCATGGACACGAGCATCCGTCCACCCATACGATGTCTCGGAAGCCGAAGGACACGAGCTCCTTGGCCGCGACCACAGGCAAAGACACGTTTGTCACCGCACGCTCCTCCCTCGATCCGACTCCTGTCGCACCCCAAATGAGCGTGCAGGTATCGAGCGCGGACTCGCAGACGTACAACCAAGCTCAAGCAGACGCCCCGACCCCTGCTTCCTCGCGGACAGGCCTTCTGGCCACGCGAGACTCCGATCGAGAACGTCATATTGACTCGGCGAACGGCGGGCCTTCTTCCATCGACAGACTCAAGAAAGCAAAGTCTGAAATATACCTTCGGCCGTCGCTCGTAAAGGATGAGCCGAAGGCTTCTGCCCGTACCGACGGAGAAGTTTTGGCTAGCCACGCAAAAGGAAAGGCTAAAGTGCATTATGCCGACTTGGCCGAGGAGGCCGCCATAACAGTGCCATCTGGCCCTCAGACTCCTGGACCACGGCCACCGGAGGAGGTCTTGGAAAGGACAAACAGCACGGTCGACGTGAATACTAGTTTGGCGGCAACGGCTGTTGCAAACGAGATGTCGGAGTCACCCTCCAGCGATTTCCACTGGGGAGATGTTGTCCTGCGAGGTGGCTACCAGTACATTTCTATGAAGTACACGAATATTAACTTCGTGGAGAGACAGGATGCTCGTACGAGTAAGCTACACAGAGTCAGAAGCCATCACACAGTTTGATGATTCTGTCAACCGCACAACGAGGGGACTTCGCTATGAGGACTGGGGAGAATTCCTCGTCGCATGGCGGAGAGACAGCATCGAGATCTACAGAGATCATGTTTGTTCAAATTTCCCCTGTGCCCTCTCCTTCCCCTCGTCTCATGTTATGTTTCAGAATACGCCTGGTAAAGAATGGGTCACTAAACGCAAACACCTGTGTTATGTGATCCCGTTGAGGTCTTCAAGAACACGGATGTCACTGTATTCTTTCGTCGATTTGACATTCTGCATCACTTGCGCGCCGACTACCACGAGGTTAAATGAAACGTCTTCTCGGTGGATCTTCAGTCGTGAAAAGGAGGGCACAAACATCTTCATTTTCAAGGTCAAGAGTCGTTCAAGGGCATACGACTGGGCCTGGCAACTTTGGTATGTCCAATGTAATTTCCGCCTCTTCATCATTAATACCTCTTCACGAAGGCGTCAAATGGGTGGTCAAGTACCTAAATCCATCGACATTCACAATCCTCGTTTGTCGACCAAAGTGACAATCGACGTGCCCGAAAATGAACAGGCTAATACCGCTAGTTTGTACCGCCTTTTCAAACGTCGAAATGTTATCGATCTATGCATGCAGTCCCTCCAAGCTGTCCCAGCATACAAATACTTGATTGAAACAGAAATTAGGGATGGTCGGTCTCTGCAACTCTCTTGGCGGCATAAAGCAACCTTGGATTGGATATGGCTCGATGAGGATACGTATGGCCAACCCAGAGAATGGTCTGTATTATGTGGAGTAGCTTTCAAACAGGTGGGTGGCATATCAACCAGTAGTGCGCTCAGGATTGAATGCTTGTTATCGTACAGTCATCGCAAGCACCTGTTCTGGAGATTCGAGTGGCGCAGCATGCTCCTACGCATCTGCACCTCAAGGACGGAACACGCATAAGTGAACCCCCAGGCATTGAGGGGTATCTTGAAAGAATACGACCGAACACTCAGACGAAGCATCAGCTGTATCTTGCGACCCATAATGGATACATGTTCATCCTCAACGCATACACCCCGTTTCCTCCACTTCCACCTGGCCTCATTCCACCACAGCCCTCTCTCTCTGAGGCGCAAAACCTCCGCCATACTGAAATCCGTCGCGGTACCAATCAGATTATGACTGCGACCGGTGTCTTCGATCTAAGGACCATCGTGGCAGTCAGAAGAGCTTTCCAGATAACGCCAGCATCGACTCATAATCATAGGCAGCTTCATGACGACGACTCTGCTTCGTTTCGAGTTTTTGAGAACCCTGAGGAAAGGACCCCAGAAGATGAGGAAGACGAAGGTGGAGAAGCATTCCTCAGCAAATCTGTCGATCGCCCAAGAACGAGGACCAGACGATCCTTCGAACTATTGCTCAATACTGGCCATGTTATACGCCTCGAAGTAAGTGCTTATCGATCTTGCTTCAGACGACTCCTTCGCTGTCAGTTTGAAATTTACCCATCGTCACCTTACTAGGCATATTCTTGCCGCGTGGCAATCGAATGGATAGAGCGACTACGGGCATTAATCGTGTATTGGAAGAGGCGGCACCGGATGGACGCGAAGCAGGAAATCGATCTCGCACAAGCGCAGCGGCCCCGCCTGACTCCGCAAACTCGGGTATGCCAGGATGAACATGAAGTCCCGCCTGAGGCCCCGGCGGACTTGTCCTCGCCTTATGAAGCAATGGACTTGCTTTATAATCGGTGCGTTCTCGAAGGGTGCAAGCCGATTGTGAAAGGGGGTCGGATTTACATGAAGAAAGGTTTACGGGGCCAGTACAAGTATGTCGTCACATCTTATCTGAGCATCAGAGTTCCTTTGTTGACTGTTGACCAATCTTCCAGGCTGGTCCAACTATTCCTGGTCGCTGGCCATCTCGTCCGTTTCAAGATTGGTTCCCACTCGATGCTCTATTCTGCGATGAAGAAGAAGATAAACATACTGGATGCGTATGTTTGCTCTGGGTATCTTGCAGCCCAGACTCTGCCGAAGGGCCAATATCAGCCCAACGCTGCGCCAACGCCTCGGAGATATCAAGATGGGCTGGAGACTGACGATCGAGAAGAGGACATGCTCTTCATGATCTGTTACCGACCACAGCCCCAAATGATGAATGCGGACCAAGATCCTACAACCACGCCAGTGAACTCGAAGTCGATGCCTGGGCTTTCCGCGAAGCATAAGATGCTCGTGTTCAAAACCAGGAGTGTTCTTGAACGGGATGCTTGGTGCTGGGCCCTGAATTCAGAGATTGAAAAAATCGTCAGGGCTCAGAAGGATAGGGAGGAACGGTTGAGGTCGGCTGGCAATTTGGTCGAATTGAAATAATACGTGGGTATGGACACTTGCACGGATTCTTTTGTTATCTTCCTGCTTTCTTATGTGATATGTCGCAAGGGTACCCTAAGCTCGTATTTGCGGTTCCGAGTGCAAGTAATGGTAATGGATTAATGATGCTAGATAATTTACTTTCTCTTGGGTTTCTTGACGCTGTGCACAAGTTAGCGAAATAGTCCAAGGAAAAATAGGGCAACGTACCCATATCTACTGCGAGATGTAGCACGATTGACGACTCCGCCGAAGTCAAGGGCACCACGGACCAGCTTGTAACTACAGTCTATCAGCAATTGCAGCGGCTGCAGAATTCTGACAAGACTCACCCTACGCCGGGAAGATCCTTCGTACGACCACCTCTCACCAATACTACACTGTGTTCTTGCAGGTTGTGGCCCTCTCCTTGAATGTATGCCATGAGCGACTTGCCCGTTGTCAGCTTGACACGGGCAACTTTCCGCTTCGCAGAGTTGGGCTTCTTCGGTGTGGCAATGATGAGACGGGTCACCACTCCTTTTCTCTGCGGACAGTTCTCGAGCAATGGGGACTTGGACTTTTCCTGTTTCTTGGGAACTCGCTTTGCTCGTATTGACTGGTTGATGGTACGGAAAGCTGGTGCCGAAACGTGGAAGGAACGGTGCTGAAGAGCCAAAGAAAGAGTGCTATAATGCACCGAGGGTCTTGCTAGGGATAGAGCCCATAATGACGAGGGGCGTGCTGCCACCCGGAGCGCAGAAAACATGGATGAGCTGAAGCCTGAAGGAGTCGGGTCTGCCAAGCCTGGGACCTGGGACTCGTAGTTCGAAACGCGCGTGTTTGCGGCACGTGCCTTTGCCAAACAAGCGAAACGCGTCGCTAATGGGCCTCTGTGCTTCTCTCCCGTCGTTCAACCATGCCTGTCGCAACTTCTTCGCGTCGCAAGCCTACGCTACGCAGGCAGAACTCGGAAGAAATCGAAGACGCGCGTCCTACCCAAGCTCCTGCAAGCGACGAAGACCAACCACGCCGCAACGGGCGTGTAAAAAAGGAGAAGCAAGGCAAAGGGAAACAAAGAGCCGAAACGGACGACGAGGAAACAGCTCGTCCAGCCGCTGCTGCTGCTGATGATGATGATGAAGACGATGATGACCGAATCGACGTCGCTAATTTCCCCAACCAACCATTTGGCAAGCTCGAGGCGGTCAAACTAAAGGGCATCTCTGAAGACTGGGACAACATGCGGAACCTCATCGGTCAGCATTGGGAAATCTATAGGGATGTCGCCTCAGCAATGGCAGAAACTGGTGAAAGAGACCTCGAGTCTTCCGAGGTGAGATGAACGCGTCAAGCTCCTGAAGGAAACGAACTAACGGCTCCATTGCTATCGCAGAGCTTACGAGAATTAGATAGAGATATGAAGGAATTCATTGATGTGGGTGCTGAAATGGGCGCACACTCTCAAGCTCTGAATGATATGCACCAACAAATCATCCGTGGCGAAGTTGTCGTAAGTCCGTAAATGCTGTTTGCGGTTCTGAATGTGACGCGCTATTCATAGGCCGACGCCCAAGCCCGCTATGAAGAAGGTCTCAAGGCTATCTTGGACCAGTATGCTGGAAAGACGACGCGTCAAAAGTATGCTCGTGATGAGCGATACCAACAATTTCATGCCAGCATATGGGTAGGTCGTAGAGCATGCTTCGTTGTCCGCCGATGCTCATCGTTCTATTCAGGAGGTGCACCACCCTGAGCAGCCCATGCCACCTCTAACCGAGTTCATTGATAAGGGTAAATACCCGGGTGTCGTTGCCCATGTTTACAGAATATTGATACCGTGCCTCAGAGACAGGCGACGACTCGGATGAAGACGACGACCTCGAGATTGGCGGCGTCACGCAAAACTTCACCTGTCCTCTCTCCCTGACCCCGCTCCTCAATCCCCTTACATCGTCAGTACTCTATCCATAATTTTTTGCCTCCGTGACGGCTAATGCCAAATTCCAGCAAAGTCTGCAAGCACAGTTTTTCAGCAGATGCGATCAAGGATTACTGCAGAGATCCCAGGAAGGCGTACAAATGCCCTGCTGCAGGCTGCAACAAGTCCTTCAAGCTGTCCGATTGCATTGCGGATACTGCGCTTGCCAAGAAGGTCAAAGCCCAACGACGACGCATCGAAGCTGCTGCCGCAGACAGCGATGCAGAGGAAGTCGTCGATTGATCCAATCGATTTCTCGGTTTCTTTCAATTGCATCTTCCTGTCCCGTTTGTTCTAGGCGTAGCTTCAATCCCTGCGCCTTAATTGGTGCAGGGTTCCGGGCTCTGTTTTATTTTTAGAGGTGGCCACCTGTCCTCTGTGTTTATACTTATTCAAGTTATTATACACTCGTGCTGTTCGGTTCGGGCTCTAATGTACATTACGATTGGGTCTCGAGGTCCTTTACTTACCTTATGACAAGTAACTTAGATCCACCTCAACAAACGCACCAGTGACATGGCGTCGATCGATTGCACAGTGGACCCTTACACGTTGTAGGGAACAAAGCATGTGTAGCTGGTTTGGCAGGACTTGCGTGTTTCGGATACCCAGATGATCAGAGATTTCGATGTCGCTAGATATGAAGGTCCTGTCAAGATAAGTTCTTTGACTATAAGCTTTCTTCAAGCGCCAGTCAGCAAAAATGACCGAGGGCGTGAGGGGAGAAAAACAGGAAAGTCGGCGATAACATTGCAGAACAAAGAGAGAAAGAAGACATGGTTATGAGTGACGCTAATCCGTATCCATGCTGTTTTCCCTTTCTCTATCGGCTTGCTCCTGAATGGCTCGCAGGAAAGGACCGACACCGGCTCCAGCCTCTTCAGGTAGACCCAAAGTTCGAACCAATCCACCGAGCATACCCGTCCTCAGGGCTTGGTCAAAGTTTGCAACGGCAGCTCTGAATTGGGGAGAACTATATTGAAAGACACCACGAGGAAAAGAGGGTGCAGCCATTAGGCGCTTAAACGGTAGACATAAAGTCATGGGCACGTACTGGATAATCCTTTGCAGGGCTTCGGCAGAGGGAGGCACAGGAAGATCTGGAGGCAGGTGAGGGAACAACGCCGGGATGAGCTCTGGGTGGCTGTTGAATAGTGGAGTGAGGTTAGCCGGTGTTAAAATGTCGATGAGAGAGAGATCTGAGTCGATGAAACGTAATGTTAGTCGACGAAAACGAAAGATGTGGAGGGTTTCAGGAAGTCGTACGGACCTGGTGTGGCTGACGGGGCTCCTCGTCTTCCTGACATAGACGTGAGCATCTGCGAAAGGGTTGCGAGTTGTTCTGGGGTGGCCTGGAAACCTGAGGTTGATTCGGCTGTCGATCTGCGTTAGGGAACACATGAGACGATAGTCCTCATTGGCGGCTATAGCACGTACGAAGATTCCGCTGGTTGGGCAGTTGTTGACGTTGAAGCTTGAGGCCCTGCGGCAGAGGCAGAAGGGTCGCTCCACCTCATGTCATACTCGGGATCTTGCAGCAGCCCGTTGACGTTCTCCGCGAATTCTGCGTCGCGGGCTGATGAAGCATCCTTTTACAATACATGTTACTACCCGAGATCGATATACCAAACACGTTCGGGATGTACCTGCATCCAAAACTACAGCGCTGTTAAATTTGAAGTAGGCTTCGAAATAGAAGGAGGGCACTTACGAAATGCCTTTGGTTGGACGAGGAAAACTTAAGGACATACACCCGGCCGGACGGGGACTGAGACACCTTGACGAAAGAGGCATCGAAGGGGAAGAGAATGAGATCCTAGAAGGATTTTCATAAACCGATATGAAAATTCGCATGTAAGAGATGACGGACCTCTTCAATATCATTGGTGACCCGATTCCTCCAAATGAAATGCAAGAGACCATCCTCAACGCCGTTGGTGAGATAGATCGCGCCTTTAGTAGGGCTTGGTTCAATAATGCTGGAGCCTTCTCTCCTGAAGGCGCGTCCAGCCTTGAAGGCGAGCAGAATTTCAGCGTTGGGGATCGACATGGCTCGGAATGAGTGAGAGGACGCGCTTTCCTGTGGCGACGCGTCATTCACTACTTCAAAGTCCGCTCAGATCTTGTGACCTGTCTGCAGCACCGCCACTGATTCAATACCTCCTGCTTTACACCAGCCACTGTCAACGGTATGCAATACGACGCTTTCGACATTGACGAGCAACCAAAATGGGGAATAGTCTCTCCTCGTGGAGACAGCGATCTTGGTCTGGTAAGAGAAACCGTGAAGAAGGAACAAGCGATCAAGTACGTCGAAACTCCCTTAATTCATGGCATCGAACTAATCTGCTTCGACCTCTTGAGGGATATTCTAGCCTGTCAAGAGGATCTGAAAGGTGCAACAAGCAGTTCATTTAATACGTTTGGGGTTGACTCTCCGGCAGCCATGTTGCTCAAGGTTCAGACAGTCCAAAAGGAGGTCGATAAATTGACATCTGGAAACGAGACTCTCCAAATGTATATCGACAATCTGACTGTCCAAATGGCAAAGAGAAGATAGATCCTTCCGCAGCAATGCCACTTACAGGGAACGCCTGATCCTTTTGCTTTACTACTTGGTGAACTCTCTTCTCTCCAACAACCTCTCCAAGCTCGGAAAGGCATGGCGTTCCTTGCTCCCTCAGACGCAGTCAATCGCGACGGGCGATTTATTGAACGAAGAGACAGATAGCAAGAACGACAATAATATAAATTAGACTCAAGAGATGCTGCACCCCAACCACTAGCACAAAGATGTAATCTCTTTTCCCGTCTTACAATCTTACACGCATCGTCCGGAGGGGCATGGCAATGCAATAGCCGACTAGTGACTTCGACCTGCAAGCCATTGTAGAACGATATCTCTGGGGAACGTCAGAGTTGAGGGGTAATGACAGGAGGCTCTCTTACAAGTTGTGTTGGCTCTTCATCGAGCACTGGAGCAAGGTCGAAACATAAGCATGGGAAGAGTCTCCGGTGTGAAAATGTCGGCCATACCGAGTAGCACTGCGAACACAGTCATAAATATAGCGAAATATGAAAACCAGAAGGGCAGGCTCACGGATACTGGACGGTCGGAGATCTTGTCAAGTTCGCTAGTAGGACGAAGTGATCAGGTACAGGTCCAGAAATAGGTGTCAATTGACATACAGGTTCCTGATAAGTTCCTTTACTGGTACATGTCCGTCCAGATCATTTTTGTTCCCAAGCTTCGGTCAAATCCAGTCAGCCATGGGCAGAGAATCTCAAGCATATAGATATAGGAGGACTCACCACGAGTAGAGGTACCCCTACGAGTGTAGGTTGCCCCAGTAGTTGGTGAAGCTCAAAACGAGCGGTATTGAACTTATCGTGCTATGCAATGTACTGGTGTCAGAGATATCATAACTGTTGTCTGCACACGAGTCAAACCCACATCAACGGAGTCAACGACGAAGCTATATGATGCGAAAGCTCAGCATTCGCCAAATAAAGTAAATTAAACTCCACTCACACGATAGCGTCGACCCCATTGCAATATCGTTCCCACATCGAGCGGAATTTCGGTTGGCCTGGAGAAGCAAGGATCGAGAATTGAATGAACAGATACACTTTATACGTACCAGCAACGTCCCAGATCTTCATAGTTACATTTCCCTTCCTAATTTTCCGGAAATTGAACGCAATAGTAGGGACGACGTCTTCGCTCCACTATCAGAGACCAAGTCGCTCAGTAGCAGCGGATGTGGCTGACGTCTCGCTTACTTGTCCAGAGGTTATAACGTTGACAAAAGACGTCTTTCCGGAGGCCTGAGCTGGGCTTCAGCATATGGTTTGGATGGGTGAAAGAAGGCGGAGATACCTGCAAGCCGACGACCGCAATTTCAGCTTGCTTGGAGAAGAAGAGACTGCAAGAGACGAATCAGATTGAGCAGTAGGAGCTATGATAGTTGCCGCACCCGCTTATCCATTGAAATATGGACGTGAAGAAACCTGGCATGAGGATTGGCTTGAAGTCGATGTCGAGTGTGAACTTCGAGTCGAAGTGACGCCCAGTCGTGCAGCGGGAGCTATCTAGGCTGCTCCGGAAATAGGCCTTTCCCCGGTTGGAGACCCGCACGTGCCTAACACATCACACCGCGACTTTATTTTGTCTTCCAAACCATCCATCCAGCTATCCCGGACGCGTCCACGGAGGTCGAATCCTCTGCTCCAGTCTTCTACAGCGACACCTCGGGAACCCCTCACATTTATGTCTTCAAATGCGTTGAAGTCAGCCTCGCGTTGCCTCCTCACCGGCACAGGACGACATGTCGTTTGTGAAGCCTCTTCGTCGCGGACAACGGTACAGCGCCGACATTATGCGTCGAACCACTCAAAGCTGTCCAAAAAGGTGGAAGATTCAGATGCTGAGCTAGTTTCTCTGGCCGAGAAACTTCTGAAAACGATGCCACCTACGAAGAAGGGACCACCATCTTCAAAAACAGGTCGCTTGTCGTACAGGTCGTCAGGTCTGTCACTGAAGAGGCCGAAGGATCCGTTACTTGGAATCCGTTCTCCCATCAGACAGGCCGGTTTGGGTCCCATAGAAAGCATAGATCCTCCCTCACGTTTTAACACGAACAAGAGGCACCGAAGAAGAGACGACGATAAACGAACAAACCCAGACATGCGTACCCTGCTTGCCTTACAACAAATGGCTGAAGGGACGAATGATCTCGCTTTTGAGAGACAACTGAATTCACGGTATCAAGGCGACTTCTCGACACCCCTCGTCGACGAGAAGAACGCAAAGTCGGCGGAGCTGAAGGAGGACTCCTCAAGTGATTCTCCTTTTGCTCTGGAAAGTGAACTCTTTCCTGCCGACTCGAAGCTTGTGCCGGAGCGGTGGAAGGGTGACGAATGGACCAGTGCGCCTCCTCATGCAATTCCGTTGTATAGGTTTCTGATTTTGAACTTTAGCTGAGGATGTTGAGCGGATCAATTCCTTCCTTGACCCCTCATTAGATGACCGACCCATTGCACCGCATATTCTGAAGGGAGATACCTTACAGACTGGTGTTCTGGAGTCAAACTCGCTTGCTCTAACTGGTATGAAGCTCTCGTACTTGTCTGACGCCATCTCTTAATTCTTCGTAGATGTCCCTCCACGGAACAAGCACCTGCCAATATCCACTTTGAAGCACAATTTAGATCGTGTCTTATTCAGGTCAGTCTCGCCTCAGGTAGTTTATTACCCTGACTGAGAAAGACGGTTGGGTGCAGTCCTGGTGTTCATTGGCTGCAAGATCCCCGATCGCGAGTCTACAATTTCTCGCCATGGTTGGAAAAAATCCCCAAGGTTAACGACTTTGCCTTTGAGCGTTTAGCAGGCTTCATCAAAAGTTCTCGAGATGAGGTATGTCGCATGCGCTTGGTCAGTTGATCCCTCGTCTGATTTCTCGGAAGGACCTACGGACACTTGCAAAACAGGAAAGGAGGAAGTTTGCAGGCTCGACCTCCTCCTTGTCGGGCATGTTGAGCCATATATATTTCCTGCTATCTGAGTTCAAGGACCCAGACTTCTCAATGATGAGCCAGCACTTCAAGAGTCAAGTACGTTACACGATTTCATTTCTTATGTATCAGTCCTTAGTTTATTTGCATCGCTAGCCTTCTGGCTTCACCTCAGGGCAACGAATGCCTGTCACTGCAGCCTTGGTTTATAAAGATGGTGTTTATGCTGTGGACTCACATACCGCTGAATTCGATGATCCAGATAAGAATGTCTTGACGTGGATGGTATGGCTACTATTTTTCGGCCCTTGAAGCGTGCTGAGACCTTTCTATCCTCCAGGGCACTCTGCTGGAACATTTCCTTACCAAAACCCCTGAAAAGTTCAAGAAATTTTTGAGGCGAGAATCGGAGCCCATTCAGAAAAATGAAACTCCCATAATGAGGGAAGCGTTCCGCTTTTCGAAGGTATACTCGTCTTTGCAACCATTCTATGTTGAATCTAAAGTACCTACGCATAGTCTAAAGAGTTCGTGATGCGCTCCCAACTTGACTGTCAAGATCATAGGCTGCCAGGCACTGGTGTTTTCGATCTCAAAACTCGGGCATGCGTTACAATCCGAATGGATATTCTCAACTACGAGGTTCGTTGCGATTATGGTCGGTCATTCTTGTTTGCTTATTTGTGACATTCAACAGGAAAACTCGGGATATTTGATTAGAAATCAACACGGCCTTATGGAAAGTTTCGAGAAGGAGTACTACGATCTCATCCGGTCGGCGTTCTTGAAATATGGGTAATGACGGTTTATTTCAATAGACGAAAATATGCTCACACCGCCTCTCTTTCTGAGTTTCCAAGCCCGTATAGGGAACATGGACGGTGTCATGGTCACGTATCATAATACTGAACGAATCTTCGGTTTCCAATACATTCCCCTGGATGAGATGGATGAACGTCTCTTTGGGCCAACCCCTGGCATTGGCGACAAGGTATTTGCTAAATGTGTCGAATTGTTGGAGGCGATTGTTGGAGAAGCTACCAAATGTTACCCCGAGCAAGTATGTACTGGCCTGAACCCTCTCATTATTCCTTTATTAACGTGTCTCTTCTAGTCCGTCCTCTGCTCGTTCGAAACGAAACTCCCAGGAAAGGTTCTTGACGTATTCGTGCAACCCATGGAATGGGGTGGCCCTGAAGAGACAAGACCCGTCTCGAAACTATGTGCCAAGCTGGACCACCGTCTTGACAACGAACTCGTGAAGGCAAGCGTGGCGATGAGAGCAGTCACCGAAGCCTGTAGGAGTATTTTTGAAATCTTCAGAAAGCTTCCTTTCTCACTCAACACAGGGACTGTCGACTACGAGATTATGCGTCCTCATCTTTCAGAAGAAGAGGTCAGGATGGATCTGAGTGGACTTAATCAGCGCAAGATGCGATCCCTGGTTCTACCCTCTTCCGTCCCATTGGAAGATGCGGAGCAATACTGGACCAATCTGAGTTTCAACAAGGTCATGTCGAAGGAAGACGCGAGGATTTTTCGCCCAGAGTCTTTCAGCCTTGCCACTGCAGCTATCGAGCGATACCGCGAGTTGGCCCGCGAAGGCCGCCTCATTTCGCAGAGGCTGGAGAGTGAACTCGCCGGCCGACCCAAGATCGTTCTGGGTGAAGGGATTTACGAGGAGGAAGAGAGTCTATTCCTCAAAGAGCCAACCCACTCGGTGGGGCTGGAGTCATCGCCTTCAGAATCGCCGTCGAGCCTTGCGAAAGCCGATGACAACGCAGAGACTAGCCCGTCGTCCACATAATCAACGCACAATCTATCCTCCTTCGTGCCATACCTGCTATTTTATCTTATACGATTGTAATACATATTACCCTACTCAGAGATTTTGCTGAAGGGATAAGCAGGGATGTAAGAGACATGTGAAAGGACATGAGTGGAGGCTTACCGCTGGTTTCCGCTGGTTTCCGTGTCTGGGCATTCGCATTGATTGGCTGCGATATCTCCTGTCTCTCTTCTACCATCACTGAGAACACTCCGCAGTTGCGATTACAGTCGGAAAACCTTTCCCAACCCTGCGTGGAGACGACATACTAATTATTCACCATGAGTGTACGTACACCGAGGCGCCAAGCCTTGTTGTCCTTTATTTCGCTTCCTAGACTGATTTGTTTTCGTCATTTAGGCCGGTCAAGATTCCGGAAAGCCCTGTCAAGTAAGCCCTTTTGTCGTTTATTTTTACACCCCCATCTCTCTCCCGTTCGCATCTTCATGAGCGGCGCCGACGACCAACCTGTGGCCAAAAAGCGCACCTGGGCCGCCTTCATTCCTCGTCCGGGTAGCAGTTCTGGGCGACCGAGTACCAGCAGTGGTCGCTCTTCTGGTACCTCGAGCCCCGTCGGGAATGGGTTCAAGAGACCAAGCAGCAGCAGCGGGTCCAAGGTCAAGGAGATCGTGGTGCCCGCCCTTGCTTCCCCTCAGGAAGGGAAGGAGCTTGCTCTACCCCACTCCGCGTCTGCTGCAACGCCGGAATCGACATTCGTCTCCGTGCCGACGCCCTCTCGCGGCGATGGCCTACCCCGCTCCGTTACCTATGACCCACCCCCAGTCGCACGACCCACCCCACAGAGAAAATGGACTAGCAACTTACTTATTTCTTCTCCAAAGCCTTCTCCTGAAGTCCTCGACCAGCGAGCCTCTCAGCTCGTTATGAATGCCCTCGAACGCACCAACTCCCAACAGACGCAGTCCATCAAGTCCCCTGACTCCATGAAGAATGGGTCCTTTGGCCTTTCGTTTTCCTCAATGATGGGCGGGCTTTCGTCGCTTTCGCTCTCCCGTACGAGCACCCGAGACAGTGTGAACGAGGACAAGGATCGAGGCCGGTCTATGCTCAAGATGAAGCGTGTCAAGTCATCATCCCAAGCCCCTGCTGAGAAGGAACAGGAATCCTCTTCACGCAGCGTGTCGCGTGCGCGCTCTCAGTCCCCGTTCAACTTCCGCCGTTTCCGCAATCGCGAACCGTCCCCTACCCCCGAGCCCATTCCCCTCAGCCATTCTGATGCAGACTTGTCAGATACGAATGACTCCGTACGTCCACGTTCTACGGCGTTCACGGATGACGACTCTGGCGACGAGACTATTGGCACCGACGCAGATAGTGAAGACGGGTCGACAAGTGAAGAAGACGTTTTTGACCCAATTACTGAGCGTAACACCGAACAAAACGCGATCATTGCTCCGGTCGATGTCCCAGGCGGTCCTGAAATTGAAGATCCCGATCCTGTGGGCGAAGGTGTTAACGTAGTTGTTGCGCCTGAGCCTTATTTCCCGAGTTCCCTTAATTCCCTATCTAACGCACGAGGCAAGAGGACTCCGCGCAGGCGCAAGTCCATGAAAACCCACGACCCTCTGCCCTTCAACACTTCGCGCCCTGTTTTCCAGCGCGATCGGTGCACAATCACTATCACTCAAGGTGATCCCACAGCCAAGCTTGGAGAGAGGCGGAAGAAACGTTACGTCGTCGCTAGTGACCTCAGCGAGGAGAGTCGTTATGCTGTTGAATGGGGTATTGGCACCGTCTTGCGCGACGGAGATGAAATGCTCATTACAACCGTAATCGAGAACGAGGCTAAAGGTGCGCATCATCTAATGTCTCCACAGCAGTCTTCTCATCTACCTCCCAATCAGTTGACCCTCCCATTCCCAGTGCTGCGGATAGGGCAGTAAAGCTTCGAAGTCAGCAGGAACGCCAGGGATTGGCATATATCCTCGTCCGCCAAGTTACTGGCCTACTTCAGCGTACAAGGTTGAATGTAACTATTTCCTGTCAAGCATGGCATGCCAAGAACTCCAGACATATGTTGCTGGGTAGGTTTCTCTCTCAATGACGTGTATACAGAGTCATTCTTCATTCATGCGACATTCATTTCCCAGATATTGTGGATCACATTGAGCCCACTATGCTCATCGTTGGTTCTCGTGGCCTAGGCCAGCTCAATGGGTAAGCGGTCTGGTCCTTCAATTCCGCGCTACAGTTGTGACTGACTCTGATGATAACAGTATTTTGCTCGGGTCTACTTCCCACTATCTTATTCAGGTATTAAAACGCTGTGACTTCATCTAAGAAAAGAGTTCTGCTGACCGTCACCCATTTTTTTTGGTCATAGAAATGCTCCGTGCCTGTCATGGTTCGTCTAGTCTACAAGTGCTGTGCTACATCTATCTTGATGATGACCTGCTTTTGCCAGGTTGCCCGCCGCCGTCTCAAGCGTCCTCCCAAAAAGAATGCCCATCTTTCTACTCATCGCACTCATGTCTCACTCGCAGAAGCCGGCATCGATCGCGTCGCCGCGAAGGTCGACCAAGATGTTCGTGTCATGCGCGATGAGATGCAGAAAGACGATAGTCGCCGTGATGGCGGACCAGGAAGCAGGGAAGATCGCCACTTCGCAGACGTCAATGTCAATGAAGCAAATGAGGACGACGAAGGTGAAGACGACAATGATGATGAGCCAGCTGCTATAAAGGTCGCCGGTTAGAATTTCTTTTCTATGGGTTTGCGGTTTGAGACATCGTAGTTCGATCATTCCAAGTTATCTTTGCTTTCATCGATCTAGCATCAGTCGTAGGGATTTACCATACATACAACTTATTGAAAGGGACACTCTTTGGTGTCCATCATTGAAATTCAGTTGGGGTATTTACTAAGTACAGTATTGTCCGTGAGTGATCACAAATCAGAGCTTTTGGAAGCAGGCACCGTTCCGAATAGTTCCTCGAGGAAAGCTTTGCTGTTAGGTTCACGTCCCAAAAAGTCCTACAAGTGAAATGTAGCTGGGTTAGACCCAGCGCAAGCTCGATACAGCATGGATGTACCTTGAGAGAGTCCAGCTCCTCCCGACTTCCACCATATCGGAGAATCTTGTCGCGATATAATTTCCCGCGTACAGGATCGAGCGGGCCAGCTTTGAATACGGTGGCTGAGAAACCGCAGAAAATTAGGACAGATGGCTAACCAGGAGTGAAACGCTGACTCACCATACATGTCCGCCGCGAACACAAGGGAATAGGTGTAGCTTCAAAGCAAGTTGAGCTCAGTTCCGACAACGAGAAAATCGAGCTTACCCATAGTAGCCTGCATCGTAACCGCCGGTGATATGCCCGAAAGTACCTTGACCAGGACTTTCCTTGTCATATTTCACGAGAGAGATCTCCTCGCGTAGTGTGTTCCAGAGTCTAGTATAGTCGTGGCTCTCTGAAAGACGTCTTGTGTCAGAATATGGACACCAAGAATAAACGGAGAGCATGCGTACGCTGGTCGGTGTGCACTTTGAGGTCGAATTTGGCGAAGAAGAGTTGCCGGAGGTAGAACAAGCCGACATTGACGTAACGACTGGGAAAGGTATCAACAATTCTCAAGGCGAAATATGAACTTTTGCTACTCTACCTCTTAATGATCTTCTCGATGAGATCAACAGAAAGCGGCTTCTTCGTCTCGTAGTGGCTTGACATTTGCTCGAGGACCTTGGGCTCCCAGCACCTAGTGGATTTAGTTAGCCAGAGTCGTATGGGCAAACGTGTGTTAATATACCAATTCTCCAACATTTGAGAAGGTGCCTCAACAAAATCGCGTGCGACGCTGCCGAACTTGTAAGAGGGTGAAAGAAAAGCTCTACGAGATAAACATACCTAGTACCATGGAAGCGAGCGAATTTGGTCTTGCTCAATAGACCATGGAAGACATGGCCCATTTCATGGAAGAAGGTAACAACATCGTCGTGGCGCATGAGAGCAGGCCTTTCAGGAGTTGATTTGGCCAGATTGGCGACCATGGCCGCCAGAGGGTAGCCCCGCGATCCATCAGGACGGTCATGGCCAGAGAGAATAGGCCAAACGGCAGCATGCGAGTACTTCGCAGCTTTCAGAACGGACATCTCAGTGTGGGGCCTTGTGCAGCAATCGAAATTTTACTAACCGCGAGGGAAGAGGTCAAGATAGCAGTAACCAATGAAATCGGACGAACTCTTTGCATCTTTCTCCCAAACGGAGAAAGCTTGAACCTCTATAAACTTGTGAATAATGTGACTTGAAGAGTGCTAAAAAAAGAAAAAAAGGACGAACCTGGGTGCCAGGTGGAAGCGTCTTTCAGCTCCTGAAATTTGACTCCAAGAAGATTCTGGTAAATGGAGAGGATAGTTGGTACGACAACCGAAACAGGGAAATACTCCTTGACGAGCATGTCATCTAGAGACAACGACTCCTCAATGTATTTGCGATCATAATAACGGTAGTCCCAGATGTAGAACTGCCCATCGAAGGGGAAGTCCCTTTCCTCGTGTTCCCTCCTCTTCATCGCCAGCAGAATTTCCAGCTCCTTTTCGCCGACGGGTCGCAGTTTACTTTCGAGATCGTCCAGGAACTAGTTCGTAGTGAACAAAAGTAGGAGAAAGATGAGTTTTAAATGCTAACATCCTCAATACCCTTGCCCGACTTGATCATCTTGACCTCGGTGATGTAATCCGCCCTTCGAATATAGGTTGAAAAGGGGAGAAGAGCACGACAACGTAAAAATTCACCATGTCTTGTATCCAAGCAAGCTGGCAATCTTGCGTCTCAGTTCCAAAGCCTTGTCCAAAAGAGGTACGTTGACGGAGAGACGGGATTCGTGGCCTTCTTGGGCTCTTTTTCGAGTTGCGGGGTTTTCGGCAAACTTGAACTGAAGGGCTGTCAACAGCCTGAAAACATCAACTCAAAACGGTTACGTACAACAGGGAAGATGTCGGGAGTTTTGTATGTCACATCAAAGACTTCCTTGTTGCCTTCGATGCGTTTGGTGTAACCTGAGATCACGTCCTTGGGTACGCCCTTAAGTTCCTCCTCGGTGAATGTAATGACTCCCTGACCGGAATTTCAGTCGCGGCTCGCTTGGAAGGTACAGAATGCCCTACGTTCTCTTCGTTGAAGTTTTTCTGGAGGAAAACATTAGTTCCGTTATAACATGGAAGAGGATCATCGCATACACTAAATTCCAAGCACACTTGAGACAATTCCTTCTTCAGAGCCATCAGCTCATTCCGTTTGTCTTCTGGAAGAGCAAGCCCGGCACGAGTTCCATCCAAGATCTGCAAAGAGTTAACGATGTCCAGATACTGAATGGCAGCTGTGCATACCATCTTTTCGACGAGACGTTGTTGCTCTGGTGAAAGCTTGTCCCATTGGCCTGATTCCTTGATATTCTTCTCTGCAGCAACCTTGGCGGTAAAAACATCCAGCCGCATCGAAGATTCGACACCGAAATCGCGGACCAGAGATTCTGCATCGTTGGAAGCATCGCGTAGTGCCTTGTCCGGAGACACATTTTGGTAGAATGCCAAGGGTTCTGTTACACTATCAAAGTGAGTATCCGCGTTGGCGAGAACTACCTGATGTTTCAAGCACCATGAACGTTGGAATCGATCCAGATATCTTGGACACTCACGAACACCTAAAGCACGAGGGCGTTAGTTGGACCCTTGGCGACGAAATGGGTGGCTCACAGATTCAAAACTGCAATCCTTCGCGTCCAAGGCTCCCACTTTATCCATAACCGAGCGATACTCGTCGATGGACTTCTTGGTCAACTCGGTGATGTCGTCGGCGGTGTGATCCCATAATGGTGCTGCTTGAGGAGGCGTGAAGGCCATACTGGGTGATTCGAATGTAAATGCTGAGAAGAGATTGGCAGAGGAAGTGATGGATCTAAATGGCCCAATACAACGCGTATTAGCAGTTGTGTATCGCGGCCGGAAATCTCCACAGGGGACGTGACTTGATATTGATCGCCAGCTCACTGCAGCAAGTCCAACTGCAATCGCCCCCATACCCGCCTTCCGACGTGTAAGACCGTGTAGGCATTGCGAACCTGCGCGAAGAGCCATTGAATGGCGTTTTACGAGGAGAATTGCTGTGACGTGTTGGCGTCTGGCAGTGGGTAAGTGTTGGCAATCTTATCTTATCACTTTTGTCCTCTTGGGCGCTTGCAGTTTGTTGACCCACGTCTACAAACTCATCACCGACTATCGCCCATCGTCACGCGTTCTTTGGGACTTGTCAATGTCATTTCTCGAGCACATCGGCTCCAGCGTGAAGCTTGAGCTTGATGACATTTCTGAGGCGAAGCACCCGGTCAATCGCTGCGGGGGTCAATTACATGGGATACCGAGTGTGTTACGAGCCAAGCTCTTCGTATTGTACTCCGAACTAGACCCGAACACCCTCATCGGCGTCGTTGAACGCGCGCCTGTGTCTGCCGGGTTGACTCTCGTACCAATTTCACCTGGAGCACCCTGGAGCCCTTTGATCAACTACGTGTCGCAGGCATCACATCCTTGGAGGATTGCTAGATGTCTACCAATCTCTAATCCCCCTGTACCCAGCACCCGCTGCTGAAACGCGTCTAGGGCGCTCGGTTCTTTTCGGGGACAAGTGCTCTCCAAGAGAAAGTCAAGCGCACTCAAAAGCCTTCCAAGCCAGTCCTCGCCGTGCTTCCCCACTGCAGATGAAGTATGCTATCTAATCAGATTGCACCATCGATTCTTGGCTGGGCATCAATCTTATCAGATAGCCATATGATTCTCCAGATGAAAAAAGACAAAGACGCCGAGCTCTATTAGTATAAGAAGACGACAAGGCTCCTGGAACTCAAAGAAGCATCCTTCTCGAGTTTTTCCGCCATGTTCACCACCGAGCGAACCCTTCTCCGCGCGTACGGCCCTGCCGACCTCCCCCTCCTCCTTGGCTTCGTGAACAACCCTCTCGTCCAGAGCACTCTTATCTCTGACCCCATCGTTCCCCGCAACCACCGCTTCGCCGTCAAGCTTGAGGAGATCGCCAACGAGGCCCTCCTCTACGTTATCATCGAGGCTACCGACAAGGAGGGTGGCCCTCAACCCATCGGCGCTGCGTCGATCACCGTCGCCAATGTGAAGAACCGTGACGTCACCTTCGGCATTGGCCTAGTGCCCTCTGCATGGAATAAGGGATATGGAACGGAGGTCACCAAGTTCTTGGTCGACTACGCGTTCAAGAACCTCGCTGTGCACCGGATATCCCTTGGAGTTTTGGACAGCAATCCCGGAGCAATTAAATTGTACAAGAAAGTGTATGTGACCACGTCTGTCAAACATAGTATAATCCATGTGCTGATTTATTTATTCTTTCAGTGGATTTGTCGAGGAGGGCAGGAAGCGCAAGGCCAACTTCTTCAACGGCGAGTGGCAGGACAGTATCTACATGGGTCTCCTGGAAGAGGAGTGGTTCGCTAAGACCAAGCAAGAAGCGAAGACGGAGGCAGCGTAATGTACATTCTATTTATCACATCTAAAAAAGCGCGTCGCTGTAATGTACAATTAAAAGCACGAAAACAATGTCCTTCGCGAGCACCAGAGGGGAGGTTAACTGTCAAGACGAAGCTAAAGAAATTTACGCGGTCGCAGCAGCAGCGTAGGCATTGCCCTTGCCTGTGAGCTCGGCTTGCCTCTCCAATGCCTGAGGAGCATCAAGAGCTTCCATCATGACCTCGACGAGCTGGAGTTTGTCGGCAGCAGCGAAAGCTTCATTGTCTAAGAGTTTGTTGAGCTCTTCCTTGTTGTTTACAGTATAGCTGGCTGTGGGGTATTTTCCACCGTCGTTCAGGGTGTCCAAAAGGCTTGACCACTTCCAATCAGCAATGTCGTTGTAGCGACTGAGTACAACAGTCAATGGGGCAACCTACAGATGCAGTACAAAAGGAATTCACCGATCTTTTCCATGAATATATCGCTCGATCGAATAGCCTTTGTTGTTCAGAACGAAGATGATAGGCTTCAAGCCCTTCCTAATCATAGGCGAGATTTCTTGGACGGTCAATTGACTAGAATGAATGATCAATCAATGCTGAGATGATAGATGACAATCGGGCCAGCTTACAGACTGCCATCACCCACGAACAGGATAACTCGTTCCATTCCAACGTCCTTTGCAGCCAAAGCTGCGCCAAGAGTGCTGCCTACGCAAAGTTAGCTTCGAGCGAAGTGCACCACAGGAGCCAGCTTTACTTACCAACTGACCATCCGATACTACCCCAAAGAATTTGATTGACTAGAACGGCACCGCTGGGCAAAGGAACATCCAGAATACCGAAATTGGCGGTGCCCGTTTCAGTGACGATGACGTCCTTGGGCTTGAAGAAGAAACCAACTCTTGGCCAGAACCACAAATGCGAGATGACGGGGGTATTTTCTTCCGGAAGCTGCTTGATGAACGCCGGAACCGAAAGCTTGTGCCCTGGATGATAGAAGTCACGGAGGCGTTCCGTGAGCTTGGGCAGCATATGTTTCATCCCGATGTTGTCGAATCGGGCAAAGTTGACTTCAGTGTAGGTTGAATGAAACTCAATCTGGCGAGTCTTAGGGATGTTGTATGAGAAGTTGCCGGTGTTGAAATCGCTGCCGAGGGAACCGATCGACAGGATGAGCTTCGCGCTTTCGACTTTCTCTTTGATGTCGGGATGTGTCAACGAGCCGACATAAATCTAGGTAAGAGAAGAAGTGAAATTGTATTGAGGATGCGGGTAACGGAGGGTACTCACTCCACCATAGCGGAAATAACTCTCATCGACAGCAGTCTTGCCCATTGGCGTCGCATAAACAGGGAAACCGGTAGCCTTGAGAAGTTCGTCGACCTCCTTTCGAGCATTGTGGCGAATGACACAAGCGTCAACGATAACGACAACGTCACCGTCAGCTGCCTGGACACGATCATAGATCAGATCTACGACGGCTTGCTCCATCTCGGGTTGGTTGAAGGGTATATCGTGAGACAAAGGTATCTTCAATCGCTCAGAGGATATCTCTCGGTAGACGAGGTTGGTAGGAAGAGTGAGGTAGACCGGACGGGCCTAGATAGACCAAAATGAGCGAACCCTCCGCAGGCGTGGTACAAAAAGCTGCATACCTTCGTGATGCATTCTGTTATAGCGTGGTCGATTTTTTCCGCTGCAGTATGTGTGTCCATAAGATATTGTTGGCAAATCGTGAACTGGGAGGCGGCTTTGCCATAAGCATCATATCTAGTTCGCGATGCTAAACATAGACTTCTACAGGAGGAGATATGATGATTTACCTGCCGTCACCGAGGGTGTGATGGAGAAGGGGGCGCGTCTTCTGTTGGACTGTATTTGGTACTCCCACAACATGGAGGACAGGCACCATCTCCGAGAAGGCTGATGAGCACCCAGCGTGAGCATCGAAATGCGCGAAAAAATAGACGCTCTCACCTCCAGCAATACCATTCATGGCCGAGAGCTCTCCAACACCGAATCTGTGCAAAGGACCTTGATCAAGAGAATGACCAGTTCGCATGTTAGAAGGACGAACGTCGTGGTTAAGACGCCAATGGAACCCTCTTTGATCCTGGCATAACCGTCAGCTGCATAGGCGGCGTTCAATTCGTTACTAAATTCATTCTCAGAGTTGCTTCTAATAGGGTGTTGAGAGTCATGCGTACCAATTCCCGACCCAGTCGATCTGGGGGTGGTCCTCGACCAAATCCTGCAAGAATGGAATCAGCGGAGGCTTTGGGAGACCAAGAATATCTGAGACTCACCAGGAAGCCAAGATTAAAATCTCCTGGAAGACCGAACATCGACTAGGATTTATGATCAGCACCAAGGATGCGAGAAAGATAACGCAGTCGCGTACAGTTACGCCCAACTGCGCGAGTCGGGTGAGGAGGTAGTTCCCAATAGAGATCTTCTCGACACCAGTCTCGACTTGAAGAGTCTTCAACTCGAGGCGGAGACGGTCGACTTCAGCTTGGAGAGCCTGAGTATCCGTAGACATGTTGTATGAAAGGTAAAGATGTGTGTGGAGGATGGGGAGGGTTTCAGAGCTTATATACAAAGGAATGACGATGGTTATCTTTCGTCTACTTTCGTTCTCCTTTTGCACGGTCGATCTCGGTTGTTCTCTGGGCAGTCTGGATCAGCAGACATGACGAAAGATAGGACGCGGCAGTGTAAACAAAAATAGCTCGGTGACGGCGCTGACGGCGTGTACGCCCAGGCATGGCCGCTCCATGCAGCTCGCTGGAACGCCGGCCCGGGCAGCTCTCTATCCGGCAGGAGCGTGCGGAAGCCCACCACGTGACCGACGCGTTTCGAACATGCCCCACTAGAACTGATGTTATCTCCTCACGCAAGCCTCTCGACTTCATTCCCTCCCCAGAGCCGCCCGATCTCACACTGGCGATCCACCTTCCAACGCCTCCTAATAACTCCGCTTTTCTCCGTCGTCACAACCCACTTTCTCGGCTATTCGACGCGTCAATATACAGCGATCAAATATGCCAGACAACTCTCTTGTACGTTCCAATCCCGACGATTATAGCGAAGATGAGTCTGGCTCAGAAATAAGCATCGGTCCTCCACCAAAGATTCCCGGAGTGATTGCAAACTGGTGGTTAAATGAGAACCTTGGTTCAGGTTACTCCGGTTCGTGTGGTTCATTCGCCTTCCGCGACGTCTTGACAGCCAATCTATTCTCTCCAGGGTCGATATTTAAGGCCACACATCTACATACTCGTCAAGTAGTAGCACTCAAGATTCAATACGTGAACCATGAATGTCCAACCAATCGTTACGAGCGCTACCTATACCCACTTCTACAAGGTGGGGCAGGGATGCCAAGACTATATGCTTCAGGAGTTCAAGGAGACTGGGACTATCTCGCGATCGATCTTCTGGGATCCAGTCTTGACAGCCTGTTTAGAAAGAGTGGGAAGGATACGATGGACCTCAGAAGTGTTTGCTCAGTAGCTATTCAAGTTGTGAGTTGCTCACGTCAACCCTCTCTCGTCACTCTAATTACCTCTTCGGCAGATAATGAGACTCCAGTTTATGCACGCGAGGGGCGTTCTGCACCGCGACATCCAACTGGGAAACTGCGTCATTGGGTTACCTCCGAACGACAAGATCATCTACATGATTGACTTTGGTTTCTCCAAACGATACATCGATCAATACACTGGCCGCCACATTCCTGACAGTAAAGTCAAGCGTGATTTTATTGGGAACTACTGGTTCAGGTATTCATTCTTCTCTGTCCTGTCGTTTGCAGGGCTCAGCCCTTTCGTAGCTCAGTTAATGTGCATTGCCGAGGCAAAGGTAAGCGCAGTGTCGTTCTCGCCGATGTGTCGCTCATGTATGTCTCTCAGTCCCGTCACGGCGAGACGATCTGGAAGCGGCCGCGTTGATGTTTATCCACCTTCTCACACCTCGCGGATTGAGTTGGACGAGAAATGGTGTCCCTAAAACGTCAGAGGCTCATACAAGGTTGAAGATGGAAAAGCGTAATGCCACTCCAGAATCACTTTGTAGGGGTCTGCCGTCTGAGTTCGAAGAGTTCCTGTCATACACGCGACGACTCGCGTTCAAGGAATCTCCAGACTATGCACAATGGATTGACCGATTCCGGGATCTAGCCAAGAGCGAGGGCTTTAGAGATGTAGACAACTTCGTCTGGCCGCCTCCAGTCCCTGTTGTGAGTTGGTCGCACATTTCCACAGTCGACGGATGTTTCACCAGATATTACAGGCCCCGTTAGTGAAAACGGCGAATACGCCCCTCCGAGCTCGAACACCAGCTATGCCACGAGATGAAATGGCCAACATCCTCAACGACCTCACGAAGCTCAATCTAGGAGCACAGCCTATCCTTGGAGACAAGACAAACGTTCAAGAAGCCATTCGGAAGGCCAAAGAAGGCGCTAAGATCGACTCGACGAAGAAACCTCCTAAGAAGGCCGCTCCTAACGGTGGACACGAGGTTATCGTCATCAGTGATGAATCTGAGAGCGGAGACGTCGTGCCTGTTCGATACCAGGCGCCGAAAGCCCTTCGGCTTAATCAGCTGGCTGAGAAGTGCTCGAATGCGACCGAGAACCAAATGCTAGCGCAGCTAATCCGGGAATTCATCGATATCTTGCAAATGAACAGTTCTAGAACCTTGACGAAGGAGGCCTTCTACTTCCTCGATGTTCTCTACAAACAGCTGGACGACCCCTCCGTGTTCATCAAGCCTCGAAGGTTCGTGATAGGCCTCCTGGGGCCAGCTTCGATCGCTAAAGCGCGTTGTTTATCAGGACTTCCAGGCAGCACTCGTTTAATGAGCAGGTGCCAGAAAAAGAACCCGCGCATATTAAACTCGGTGTAGTGGCTCGTCTACGGAGGGAAGTCAGCTATAGCCAATCCAACAAGGTTCTCGCGGCCATGGTGGCCGATTTCGCCAAGGTCACAAACAAAAGTACAGGACGGACGGTTACAAAGGTATGATCATCATGAGTATGCGAATGATACCAACATATTAATAGCTTCCTCTTTCCTCTCTTCAGGATGGATTCGCTTTCCTGGACGGACTCTCGGAGAGACTCACGGCGCTTCACTAATCCTGGCAGATCTTGTATGATATTTTTTGCGATATAGCTTTCGAAATTATTTTATAGTACTGCATCTATGGACACTAGATCTAGCTGCAGGATGTAGCCCAGTTGTCGAAATGTAAAAAGTGTATGTACATCTATGACCAAGTTCAAACTTGTAGTGTGCGGGTGTCTCGGGCCGGCTATCGTGTACACACCTCGGCGCTGGAGTCGCGCAATCCTTGTCATCGCAATCACTCACCGATGCCGCGTTTTAGAGATTTTGGTCCTTTCAATACTGAAGGTAGTCAGCATCCCTTCATCCATCCCTATCATGCCACCTCGCGCAGGCTATACAGCAATTCCTCCTGTACCCACGGATTACGACAGGATGTAGAGGTGGCCTGATACATCATCTCCCCCTCTGGCACCAATCATAAAGCGGGCTCCCTGACCCAGCGCGTTGCTCCATTGCCCCCTCTCCCATGTTTGACTGCCTCAATTCAGTACCCTTCGATGTCCTCGACGAGATATGCAAGCTGGTATGTGGTACGATTTACTCTGGGTCGCTTTCAAGTCCAGACTTCGGGTTTCGGGCGTACTTAGCTAATCGACGCCCTGTAGATCGTCGCGGAGTCGAATATTGATGTCGGCCGCGAGCACGCACACCGAGACGAGCCGCCGATCTTCGCGAAGGTCTTCGAAGCAAGGAGGGCGAGCGAGACGAGTCCTTACGCCGTGCGCCTCGTGTGCAGACGCCTGAATGAGGTGCTCGTGAGGTACCTCTTCAGGGATGTGTGCTTATCGGTTTCCTCGGACTGGCTCAGCCTGGCCCCGTCGCTCCAGGAGCTGGCGTCAAGGACGGCGAGCGTGTTCCAGGAGAACGCACGGACTTTGTGCATAGACTCGCTCGTGAAGAAAGAGTCCCATTATCTGCGAGACGACGACCACAAGGATGACGATCAGAACTTACTTCTGCCACTCGAAGTGTACGATGCCTACCCCGACCCGAAGACTGCGAGGAAGAAGCAGTCTGCCAGAGTAGAATTTATCGCGGAGGTGAAGGACTACATCACCCCGGCCATTGCGTCGTTTACGAATGTAACGGAGGTGAAGTGAGTCAATCTTTACTCCTGTTCCGTCGGGCTACTTCTAACTTCTTGCCGATTCCTTATGTTAGATGGTGCATCCACGAGAACGAATGTCCGCCGTGGTTTCGTACCGCCGTCATCAATGGAATCGCCTGCCTGCCCAACCTTCCCCGATTACACATGTCCCGACACAAAGCGTGGACGCGTAACTCCCGCGACTCCCCAAAGCTGTTTTTCCATGATATGGTCTTTGTCATTCCTGATATGCGTCAGCTCAGAGACCTCGAGCTCAGTTTGCATGAGCAATGTCTGCCAGCGGATTACAGTTCGTTTTGGCAGGCCCTCGAAGTTGGGAAGAACAGGCTCTCCCGCTTGAAGACGAATATTCTCAGTATGTCCGTCCTGGAGTACGTTGCGTCGTACTCTGGGTTGGAGCAGCTTTCGTTCGGGCTCCGTACGTTTATGTCGAAGGGACACATCGAGCAAAGCGTTCATGACCGCCTGGCGTCGTACATGTTCGATATTGCTTTGCCGAAGCATACAGAGACTTTGGAGGCCCTGGATCTTCCTGGTATCTTTGACAGCAAGGAAAGCTGGTCCGTCCGTTCAGGCAGCGTTGGAACAATTGTGAAACTGAAGAAGCTACGCACACTTACTGCTGCTTTCTTCATACCAGAAAACGGAGAAAAGTTGGAACACTTCGTAAGTTGCAGTCTGTTCTTAGACAACGCACTGACACGCCCATAGAAACAACTTACTCGTCGTTTGTCCGCCCTTCCGCGATTGCGTTGTCTTCGGGTCAATGCCACTCAGATGCACATGCGTTTCTACCACGGTCTCTTCGACAAGACGCCGCCAGTCCTAAACAAGATGCACGACCTTCTAACAACCGTCGAAGTCGACGACTTCCAGCGGCTTGAAACCATCCCGAAGGTGGTAGATGTTATCATCCACCAACACCAAATCGTAACCTACAGGCTGGTCACCAGAACCGATGGCTCAAAGTCCCACTACTATCATACCGACCAGGAAATCCCTCCGTTCGAACCAGGTCGAAGACACATCATGCGATGTGGAGGAATTTTCCGTGCCTCACCTATCCCTCGACCAGGGGATAAGGAATTTGAGGCGCTGAAGGCAAAGATCAGAGCGGCACGAATTAACCGCGCTAAGTCGTGATGTGATGTCTTGACGAAGTCAGTTTCCTTGACACGACGCGTCGACAGACCACGCTGAGCCTGTCAAGCCAAAATTTTGAAGGATCAAGACCAGGCCGCTGTCGATAAGTACGGGCGTCGGGAGGGGGGATTGCAAGTTGAGGTCGATCCCATGTGAAATTGAAACTATGGGGTGCGGAAAATATGTCGTTCCATAGATGATAGGACTATTATTTATCTGCTAGTGCCAAAGTCTGTGAATTGTGCGTGCATCAGGGAGGGAAAGGTGGTGTCTGGAATCTGGGCTGGAATGATAGGTGACGATATGGCATGTTCGAGCACTGTGAGGAAAACTTTGTGACCTTCGTAGAAGTTAAGGTGGATTTCATGGGCGCTTAGCTTGCAGGCCTCTGTAGACGCGTCTGAGGAGCAGCTGGATGCCTGAAAGAATGGAAAGCCGTTCGGTGAGGTTGACACTATCACGGACAACCGAAAGCCAGAATTGTCTGGAGCATCCCTGACAACCAGTTAGAATCGCCCCATAGAAAATATTGCGGCAAAGTCCGATCAACCACCGTCCCCATAAAACGAAAGGAGGCTCCTCTTCGCTTCTCTACCTCGACGTTTCGTCGCCCCTCTATCCCATTCACCGCCATCGTCATTAGCCATGGCGCGCAAGAACGACGATGATAACGTCACAGTGGTTCAGCAGGGCGTGTATCCTGTCCCGGACCTACCTATCAAGGATTTGCTAGACTCGATTCCGTGCGTTGCCTGTTACCTTCCTTTGACGTGTCTTGCTGATACGCCTTTTAGCCGTCACTGCTTCGAGCGCTCAGCTTTGAGGTCGGGCCTTTACATGTGAGTCTTGTGCGCCTTGTGACGCAAAACATGCGGTCGAGCTGAGGTTTTTCTTGCTTCCAGCGTCTGGGACAGCTTCGTGATTGTGTGCCTCTACAAGGCTGCGACATACCTGGACAGCTTCGTCGACCCATCTACACTTTCACTGCCCAGCCCACACCTGTATACCTTTGCCCATGTCGCCATTTGGGCGCTCTATGGCTTTTGGGCAGGCCTGTTCGCGACAGGACTCTGGGTCATCGGACACGAGTGTGGACACCAAGCCTTCTCTGAGTCGAAGACGATCAATAACACTGTTGGATGGATCGTGCACTCTGCGTATGTTATTTTTAGCTCATCTCACACCTTTTTCTTCTTGGGGAGGAATTGCTAACATGTGATTGGATCATTACCAGACTCGGAGTCCCTTATCACGCCTGGCGTATCACTCATGCGAAGCACCATGCCTCCACTGGACATCTCACTCAGGACCAAGTTTTCGTCCCATCAACACGTTCCGAACTTGGGCTACCTCCTTTTGACCCGGCAAAGGAAGACCTCCTTGGTTCTCGTGTCACTGAGGAAGTTAAGCGGGAATTATGGGAGGCCCTCGGTGATTCGCCCATTGGCGCGGTCATGGGTTCTGCAAGCTATCTTGTACGTCCCATCCCCTTCGTCCAACACTTCATTGCAACTTTTAACTCTGTACCTAGCTTGGAGGATGGCCTGCCTACATTGTCATGAACTCGTCAGGACAGAAGAGGTACCCTAAGGGCACTAATCGTTGGTCATAATTTTACCCGCATACGCACATCGTCCTGACGTGCCCTTAGACTTTGATCCTTCGGCCCCTATGTTTGCGCCGCATCATCGCGGACAGATCATCGCGTCCAACGTTGGTATTCTGCTCTGGCTCGTGGGCATCGCCACCAGCATTTACCTTAAGGGCTTCCTTGAAGTCTTCAAGGTCTACTTGGTCCCATACCTCTGGTACGTCATGGAATGTCGAAGTGACCTTTGAGAAACGGTCTGATTCCTTGTGTTAGGGTCAACCACTGGTTGGTTCTAATTACTTTCCTGCAACACACCGATCCTCTTCTCCCTCACTACCGTGCTCCCGAACACACCTTCGCTCGTGGCGCCCTCGCCACCCTTGATCGTAACCTTCTGGGAGATTTGGGAAGTGTTATGGCCTGGATTGGTTCTCATGCTACCAATGGAATTTCGGAGACACATGTACTCCATCACGTCTCGAGCAAGATCCCTCACTACCATGCGTAAGTATCTGATCCTATTGAACCGTGGCCTACGCTCACCCTTGCTCGCTATAGTTGGGAAGCTAGTCATGCCCTCAAGAAGAGACTTGCCAATGCGGGCATCCCCATGAATGGTGCCCCTGGAGGATGGGCTGAGGTCTACCGTGTCTTCAAGGAGTGCAAGTTCGTTGAGGACGAAGGGGATGTTGTTTTCTTCAAGAATGCTTATGGCCTTGCCAAGATGCGCCCTCAACTCCCTGAGTCCTCTGCGAGCGATTCCGGTATCGAGGTTGAGAAGTAATTGCCGGAAAGTATACCCGACCACTCCGCATACATACTTAGATAGAGCATATGGGATATAGAATGACAACGAACACCCCAGGTAATTTTTATAAAAGTAATGCATTAACGTCACCCATGAACTATCTGCGTGGTGGAAAGGACGTCCAGTCTCGCACTGCATAACCACCTAATCAAAATCCTTCCCCATGCTTTTCTTCACCGATTCCTTCCATAAGTCAGCGAAATCTTCAATATCCCGGCCACTGGTCATGTTGACAGCCTCGAAAGGGATCATGTTGTGCTGATAGGCAGGGGCATTGCTTGCAGCAGCTGGATGAGATCTTGAGTCGACAACCCGGAGGACTGCACAAAGGTCTTTTTGAAGAAACTGGTGTAATTCTTCGTAGGTGAAAAGTAGAGGATCTGTTTTCGGTGAGTAGGGATTGAAGTCCAAGATGTGACCGTGCGAGAGATCTCTTGTAAGGAGGAAATCGAAGGCGTCTAGAGAGCATAAGTTTATCTATTCACAAAACGGAGTACCTGAAAGAGACGCACAATCCTTCTGTGTCTCCCAATGTGCCTTGATATTCGTTTCCCAGAAGTTTTTGATAACAGCAGTGATATCTCTCTGAGTTTGCTGATTGTTCCAAAACTCATAAAAGTTCGTGTCTCTTTGCGAAAGGCCTATCCACATAATCAAAACCTCTTGGTGAAAGCAAGAACGACAGTATTCACCGAGCAGCTTGTTATCCCGAACGAAGCACCTCAACTCGCGTCCTCGGTCGACCGGGTACCACTTCCGCAGCACGAGCTCGAGCTGATAATCGGGGGGCTTGTTGGTGTCGAAGGAGCAACCCTCGAAGACCGTGTCTGTGCCAAGGTCGTGGTTGATGAAGTCCGATGATTTGAGGAGAAGGTAGACATCCGCGGGGGAGGTGCACTTCAGCGGGGCGGAGGCCGGTAGGAGCCACGCTGCGTCCTGGATCGGAAGACGGAAAGAGAGAGAGGTATCAGTGAGAGGTACAGAAGATGAGTAAAGACGTGCCTTCGGCGCGCTGAAGTTGAGCTTGGGGAAGACAGCACCGTACTCATTCACGCAATCTCTAATTCGCTGGTCAAGCTCTGGAAACGCGTATCGCTTTTGCGATTCCTCGTCAGAGTCCTCTTCCGAATCATCTGGATTTTCGTCCTTTTCGTCGTCTGACAGTGTGCTCTCAGCTGCCTACACAGAGGAAATCAAGCTCCGAGACGACGAAGTACAGTGTGAAAGGGCCAAACCAACGCGTCTTCCGAGCCTTCAGGGACGAACACCCGGTCGGCGTTCATGTATTCCATGAAATCCGAGGAGAGTGGGTGGATGATAGTGCTCTTAATAGTATGTTTCGCGAACGCGGGATACCATGAAGAGAACTGGAATGAGAGGATGTACTCTGGTGTGGCAGAGGGAAAGAGGTCATCGCCTGACATTTTGATGGTGGTGGTACGCTGAGAAAGAGAGTTGACTTGATCAAAACATAATGGGTATCCTGGCTATAATTGGGAATCTAAGTACTAATTGCAGTAGGCCTTCATATGACGGGTGACATAATGTACACAGATAATGGCTTGCTAAAAGGAGAGCTAGGTAGTGCAGATAACGGAAGATCTCAATTCAGAGTAACTCTGACGGCGTTAAGCCTTCTTTTTGTTGGCCAGGAAATCTTGATACCACCACTGCAAAGACGGGGGTCAGTAAATTCGAAAGCTTGTGGAAGAGAGAAAGACATACCTCGCAGGTCCTTCGCACACCCTCCTCAAGACCAACATCAGGCTCATACCCAAGCACCCTCCGGGCCTTCTCGATATTGTGATACCGCGTCGCACAACTGAAAGTGACCTTGAACTTCGTGAAGGTCACGTCCCTTCCGGTCAAGTACCCATACCACTCCGAACCAGCAGCAGCAGCAAACCCAACGGACTTAGGTAGCTTGATAAGACCGCGAGGTGGTCTCTTACCAGGGAAGTACTTGTCGAACTCGTTCCAGAACATGCGCGGGAAGTCCCAGAATGGGACTGGCTCGCCGTTCGTGATGAAGAAAACCTGGCCAGCTACTTGGAGGGGGTTCACGTCGGGGTTTTGGAGTTTGGCGCGAGCGAGAGCGTATTCGGACAAGGGGTCGAAGTGTGTCCTGATGACAGGCCGATTGGACACAAGTGGGTTGGGGTCGGCGAACGCAGCAGCAATCTTCTCTCCGTTGGGCGGGGGAGTCACATACGGACCAAGGGGCCGCACCTCGCATGTCGGTACCCGCTGGCGGCCAGTCGTGATGTCAACAGGAAGGAGCGGGTAGTCGATGAGCGCTAATTCTGCGGCTGAGAGTGGAGGAATTTCATCTACTGTAGCAGGCTTTTTTTCCAACCGCGAAAGAGGGGGTGCTGGAGGAGGCGTCTCGAGCTTATCGGCAGCTAGGAGATGAGCTTTCGCGACATTTCCGACATACGTCCAGTCGAATAGGTTCGTGTTGTCGCCGATTTGGAAGTGGGTCTGGCCGTTTTCGTAGACTTGGTAGAACCCAGTCGTCGCTTGTCGGTCGCCTGGGCTAAGTTATTACCGTCAGCTTTGAGAAATTATGTCGAAGGAGACGGCTCACCCGAAAATTCCGGCGGGTCTCAAAGCGACTGTCAATAGACCGCCTTTGCCATTGGCCTCCAGAACTGCCTTCTCAGCCTTGCCTTTGGTATCGTTATAGGCGTCCATAGGTACATCAGGAAATGGCACCCGTTCGTCGACATCGATGATATCCTCGCCGTTGAAGACGACACCAGCCGAGCTAGTGAAGACAAGCTTGCGAACTCCTGTTTCGACGGCTGCAGCAATGATGGCTTTCGTTCCCTCCACGTTGACCTTATAGAAGATTGCAGGATTACCCAAAGCTCCGTGCGGAGACGCAGTATGAATGATGCACGTCGTACCGCTCTGAGTGAGAGAGTTAGAGGTTGTGTCTTGCCTAGAAGTAACTCCTGCGAACCTTGCGCAAGGCCGACGCAACGGACCCCTGGTCGCTAATGTCTCCAGCGTAGAATGGCACGTCGCTGTATCGCTCCACAATGTCGAACGCCGATACAATGTCCCCTCGCTCCTTCAACTGCTGCACAATATGTCTTCCCAGGAAGCCATTTCCACCGATGACCATGTAGACGTCTCGTATCTTCTGCGACATTATAAAAGTTGAATCTGGGAGACGAAAGGGAGTATTGTAGGGCTGTCAGGAATATATGCTGGGTCTTCGCTGGCCGCAAGTTGGGCGACTGAAAAGATCGAACGACAGTCACATATTTCTCATGCCGCCGGTACCATGCGGCCCGGCCCTGGACGCGACCCATGTGACATCCCACGTGAGATGCGCCAGTCGCGCCTCGGTGTTGCGTTTTGTTTATTGCCCTCACCATCGTCCCCTCCGATCTCTTCCACCCATGGACCTACCATCAGCAAAGAGGCACTACAGCGATGAAGAGAAGAGACAGCTTATAGCCAATCTTGACATCGAAGGTTCACTTATCTTGCTGTTTCTGCAAGCGCCAAACATTGACAACAACACCCTAGTCGCGCATCGTACAAGACAATTTGAAGCATGGCTCACAGACAGGCTGGAAAACTTTACAATCCATCAGGAGGGACAGGTGTCAAGGATTCCAAAGCAAGTCCGTGCCATGACCATGCGAGAGTTTGGGGAGAAATACGAGGGGAATATCCAATCAGCCTTACGTGGGTTTCAGAAGGAACGGCTGGCTGCGGCAGGGGCGGATGCCACACTGGGTGAGATTGACAAAAGTGTAAGAAAGAGGAAGTGGGTGGCCAGTCAGGAGGCAGAAACCGAGGCATCCGGGTCAAGTCAACCGAAGGAGACTGATCATCGAGCACCTAAGAATGGTTTGTTGTTTTAGTTTACGCTGGAAGGGAATAATTGGCTAACGAAACGTTTCTAGCTCGAACGCAATTGTCGTCTCCGAAGAAAGTTGCTGGATCTTCAACTGGACCTGGGACTGCTCAGCGAGCGCGGTTGTTAGCGGCAGGAATCAAGACACCTGGCGGGGTACAGTCTTTCCCCATCTCTCATTCTTATTTTCAGGCTAACCTCTCTAAAGACACGCCACACTATGACCCGTTTACCTCCACCATCGCATAGTCCGCAAAAGCATCGACCACCGTTCAACAACACTACGTCAACCTACAATCCTCGGCCACCCTCTCGTCCAGCGTCGCCACTCAAGCACACAGCCTCAAAACCAAGCACCAACTCGCATGCGCAACAACCTCGCGTCCCTTCCAGTTCAACCTTCAACCCCACCCTTCCTCCTAAGACGCCAGCATTCCCTCCTCGGCATGGACACGACGATCAGACTACTACCGTAATGCGATTACCAAGAAAGGACGAAGATATGCTCAGCGTCAATGGGTCACCTCTAGCTAATCCATATCAATTTGGACTAGGCTGGTTCGGGGGAGTTGATGCGCAGATGGAGGAAGACTCTCAGGAAGAGACCAATGGTACAAATGGTGCTCGCACTCTAAAACGGACGAAGAGTAGCATAGTCATTCGACAGGATCCCTCGGTGGCATTAAGTGGCCTTCATTCACGGACAGACTCCCAAGCCAGTTTTTATACGGCATCTTCCCAGACGGCAACATCCTCAAGAGAGGAATTGCAAGCCTCCACCCAACCGTTCTCATCTCAACAAACCAGTCTTGGCGCTTTCCGCTTTCCTTCGACGCGTCCGAATAATAGCGACACCACTACACCACGTCCTATGACCAAACATACGAGATCATTTTCCGCATTGGTTGCTATTCCAACAAAAGACGGCCATCTTTTGGAGTTTGACCCTCTTCAAACGTCGCCTGGTGCCTTGGACGCGCTGGAGGGTATCTCGGATAGCGCGAAAAAGCAGGCTAAAGCAGAAATGGGAAGGTTGATACAAGCTACTGTGGACAAGTGGAAGATCCGATGACCTTAGTGGTGTCGATGCGATTCGTTTCTTGAACTAGGACAGCTTTTCGTCACTGTTATTTATTCTTCATTGTCACTCACACTCACACCATACCTTACTGAATTTGCCTTGAAGAATCGTTTTTGCAAAAATTTCACGTGTAGAATGGCAACTTCCCCTGTAGCAAATATCTAATCGTGTAACTCCTCATCGCTGTTGAGCTCGGAGGAAATGTTGAGTGGTCAGGCGTCCACAATCACTTCGATATGGGCAGGGCGACATTGGAGACTGTTTGTATTTTGAATGCCAACCAATAGCGGTGGTATCTTCGACGGCATCTTCTGATTGGGATACAGTCTGTTCCGAGGAAAGTCAGTTGTCGGAGGTAAACCGATGTGAAATCCCTTACCTTAGGTGTTGATGCTCCAATTCCAGGAGATGAGCCAGTGAGATCGCTCCAATCCCGAACCCATGACCCCGAGACAGAGAGAAATGGCCAGTGGTCACATAACCAATGACAGCGTCTTGTGCGGGCACTTTTGTCGATAGCTGCGAAATAATCAGCACTGAATGTACTGGAGAAAAGTTATAGCAACGAACTTCAGCTTCCTGGGGAGAGTCTTCGTCGATTGAGACCCCGGCTGACTGGCGAGCGTGAAGAGTTTTCGACCACTGCCTCGCTAGATCATCTGTGAAGCTATAGATCATGCACAACGATTCTGGCGAGCCACGCGAGCACATATCTATTTTGACATTGATCAAAGCACCCTCCAGCAGGTCGACGGCTTTGATGTCCGTGGGAAGAATCGGGTGATGGCGTTTGGAGCGCAGACGATTTATCTCTGATAGAAGCACGCCACCAGGGTTCAAGACAGAAGAAACCGCCGACAGAATTTTCGGCACTTCTGAGCCTCGGAGTAACCATCGACGTACATTCTTGTCTGATTCAGCTGCGCCGGTGTCTGTGGTCTCTCGCTGAGTTGTCACGAAAGAGGTCGCTGGCCTGCTCCCTGGGGTGTGAAGAAGGCCATCCCAGTCTGGTCGCCATGGATTCTTTACACCGAGTTTCTCATAGTTGACGCGTTTAGCTGGAGGTTTTCGATCCCATTTGAGTTTTTCTTTCGCTTCTTGCTCCTCAATCCATTCTTGATAGGGTTGTGATGGTGGATAATCTCGAGGGAAGTACGGGGTCCCAGCTTCGTAGGACTGCGTTTGCCGTTCTCGTTGACCGCCGACGCGAGTTGTAGTAAAGACAAGGGAGCTGAAGAAGGCCATGGACCACCCCTTCGGGACAATGAGAGTCCAGCCATGTAAGGATTGGCTGTCGTTCGAGTCATGAGTTTCCAACGATCGTTGAATGAGCAACACAGGTATGCGATCATCTTGACGCAAAGGATCCAGTCTTGTTCCTGGGATACCATTCTGAAAGAAAAAATATAGAAGCGGCTGATGAGAGTCGAACGGCATTTAGGACAGAATCCGCTCACATTGGAACGACGCTCGTCCAGATCCTTCTTCCTGTAACGTGGTTTTGCTAGACCACTGCGAACCCTTTCGTCCCAAACATCACTCGCAGCGAGACGAACAGATGGAAAAATAATGCTTAATTGATCAGGAGCAAGTTTTGCCTTGGCATTCTTGGGAGGGAAGCTAATCATCATGAATAAAATGCACAAAAAAAAAAAAAAAGAGGATAGACAGTCCACCTTAATCGAGGATCGTTTACAGTGAAGCCTATTATCATTCCTCGAGGCACAGAACCAGCACTTTGAAGATTGGTCAAGGACGACCAGAACTATGAACATGAATTTGAATCGATCTTTTCTGAGATCAAAGCACTCACCTTCAAGAAGTCGCCCCTCTTGTCAGAATGCACGGGGGACAAAGCGCCTCTGATAACTTGACTAGATTTTGGACCAACGATCTCAAAAACATTGACATGATTCTTCAAATTCGCGATCTCTAGTGTCATTTCTTTTGAGTCGCCATGAACCTCCTTGTAAGTTGCCAAAGTCTGAGAAGCTGCTCCTTGCAAAATATTAAGGACCTCAGTGTGCACCGATGGATGGAATCGCAACCAAACGCATCGTATACGCTCTGATGGGGCATTCTCAGCAAGGACCGACGGGGGCTCTTTTGCTTTCCCCTTTCCTTTAGCGTTGATCTGATCGGACTCTGCGGTTGCGGTGGGCGAATCTGCCGGCTTCCACACGACCGTCACAGGCGCAATGAGGTCGTAAGGGTATGACCCCGGCTTGTACATCCAGGTCTCGAGGACGCGAGAGCCGCCTAGACACCTGCACAGAAGTTAACAGGCATGACGAAGCGAACATGAATCTCGACGTACCGCTTCGAACTTGGTCCTGGTCCCTGGGGGTCACAAAATCTCTCTAGCATAGAGACCAGGATTTGCTCGGCGCCTTTAACTTCCACTAGGGAATAGTACGAAGCATCATGAAGAATAGCATCGTGAACGGCGGCTCTATGAGAGGGCCGATACGCCTTTTCCGTAGGACACACTGCCTGCAGCACAGTTTTGGTGACAATTTTTGAAAAGTATGCAGCCGCACGCACCAGGCGATAGCCCCATAATGTTTCCATGTGCATACGTTTTGCATGCCACAAATGTGTTTCAAGCCAGGATTTCTCACCTTTTACCCGTGTTACTCGTTGAAATGACTGAGAAAGGGAAACCTACGTATTCTCTTGAGAAATGAATCTGTTCGAGTTGTGCGTCTGGCAATCCCTCGTTTGGGTATGGAGCGACCTAATGCTTTCTTCCGAACTGGGTCCATCTCCACAAAAAATCAAGAAAAATGACAAACACTAATAAATGCGATACACACCTCTGCTCGTGCCCTGTCTCTTAATCTGAGGGGCACTCTCCGAACGTCGTGACTAGCGGCTCTCCGTCTGAGATGCCTTGGAAGGGTCTGCCACACTCGATGCGTCGAACTAGCGCTGAATTCTAGTTCAGGTTGAATTCGAGTATGCATGGATCCAGGGGCCCACCTAGCTGTTTTCATAGCGGTATGCATGGCGTCAATCTCGAATGCCCGGGCCTGATATTCCAACACCGCTAAGCACAACCATCTCAAAATAGCTTTGCTCAAGATATACCTCGACGAATCTTTCGAGATCAATGGAACTGGGTAATCCCGTAAGACCTGAGAGCTACTTTTAGTCAAGCTGCAGTGTAGACACAGTATGGCGGCGTACTGTCAAACTGAATTCTCTTCGAAGGTCCTGCAACCCCGCTTTGCGAACTTGGTCCGGCTTGCAAATGAGTTTGGACCGCGATTGTACGAGCCGCAGTCATCTTCAATTTCTTCTTTTCTCGCCCCGTCAGGTCATCCATGCTATCTCCACTCCTTCTCTTCTGTGCCATAAAGTTCAACTTCGCGTCGGAAGACCAGGCGTGAAGCTTGCAGTTCGATACAAGACAGATACGCGCAAGTAAATTTAGAGTGTGTGTTGTTTCGCGTGGAAACGGGGTTATTGCTCAGACCGAATACTTGAATTAAAGAAATATGACAGGATGAGGTTGGAGGCAAAAGACAAAGACTTGAATTGATTCCGAAGAATTGATTTCACGACGCGCACGTGATCGACGGGGCTAATCGCAACAACAGACACAGGAAATCGTACAGTTGGCCAGAAAGCTCCTCCTTCCTGCCACTATGACCTCATACGCTCGTCTCGGGAGTCTATCGAGACTATCAACGCGCTCAGTGCAGATTCGCGGCTTGACTACGTCGGCTGTTCTGAGGAACGAGGCCACGTCAAACCTTGGGACTGTTCAAGTTCAGAAGAAACCAATTGGTGGGTTCAGGGGAGGGTATGCCGCTCTTTTAACCTGTTGTGCCTCAATGTTCACTGTTCCTTACAGTATTGTTGGATTTCTGTTTGGCTTCTCCTTAGCATCTTCATTTGCGGCGTACCACCTCTTGGAGGAATACCAACAAGCATCTGCTGTGCTACAGGCCAGCGTTGAGGAGTTGAAGATTAGCACAGAGAAGGTGTGCCATTCCTCGTTGCTGGTTTGACGATCACGAGTGTCGCTTAATTGGTGTCAGGTTTCCGCACATGTCAGGCGGATAGAGGCCGTTGAGAAGGTCTTGAAGGTCTTGTCGGATACCTCCGCCTCAAAGGAGGATATCTCCAGGGTTCGCGCCGAAGTTAAAAAGCTCTATGGCGGACTTCATGTTGGTCAGTCTTTCCGGAATCTGATGCCCAAAATGTCACTTATCGTATGAATTTCAGAATTTCTGGACCTACGTACACATGTATGGGGAATTCGTGAGTGATAGCGCTTCTTAAGCGAGCTGACTTTGTCCAACTGAAAAAATCTGGTCCAGAACAAGATCTTCACAAGCTCTCCAAAAAGGAATCCACAGAAGTACGCATTTGATTATAGACGCTTTATAGAAGTTTTGCTGTCCTTGCCTCTCCTGGCTGTGGAATAAGTTGTCGTCCTAAGTCAACCCGTCTCCTCGAACGAAGCCTCGATGCATTCCTTTTTTCTCTGTGCAGTCCGGCGCAATTGGTGCAACTTTCCAGTACACTCCTATTCTTGGGGCTCCCATACGGTTATTACACGCCCGCTGCTCCGCTACGATACGTGTCGTCACGATCTTCACTCCATAGAAACCAAATTGCATATTCCCGCCGACTTTCGGGACGAACTTGATGAACGCATACCGCAGTGTCGAGGTTGCGAAGGAGCCTTCCTCTCTGACGTCGCACAGGGCCTCGATGCCCAACGTGGAATTCCTGTTGCGCCGTATCTACACTTCACAGCGCCTTAAGGCTAAAGCCCACGAGTGCAGACTTCAAAGCAAGTTGTGGACGTATTCACCAGTTCGACAAAATCTATCTCAGCTCGCACATTTCAGAGAAAATGATTTCATGAAGATTTGACGACTGCAATGACTAGTCGCAGGCACTACTTCGGCCAGATCGATGTCGCTGGCACGCTGCGGTCGCGCGTTTGTTCTCGCGACACACTGTGATCGGATCTGCCTAACTTTGAAGTGCATGGGCTGATGTAAGTACGAATCCCAGATTTGTCTCCAAACATGGTTAAGACATGGTCACAAGCGCTCTGAGGACCCCGGATGTTTTAAGGCACTGCGAATCCCTACGTTCCTGGCTTTTCCTACCAAAAGTGAATTGCCCTTAATTAGGCTGGTGATTGCCTCTCCCTGCCTATGGACGTCCCCCCCGCTGACGGATGTTCGCCTTAACAACCCCCACGCTCACGACGAAAACCAACCGAAGCGGCACATAGCTGGCGGCTTGGCCTACCTAAAATCGCCGACTGGCTAGAGACGCCTCGATCCCATCCTGGCGAGTTCTGAGAAAGAAAAAGCAACAACCGAAAATGATTTCAACATTAATTTGGAACTGTCGGCTAGACTAAAGCCCCCATGTATAAAAGCTGGCAATGTCAGTTTCCCCTTCGTTATTCCGCTACCTCTCTTTTGCCACTCAAGACAGGTTCTTGTCTATTTTGTTCGATTTTCTTTCTGTTCTGTACGTCCTCCTGCCTTCGACTCACGGCCGTTCATTCTAAGTATGAGTCCCACCCCGTCTCGTCTTCCTCCTCTCTTTGCAGGTCGCAGGCGTCCCTTCTTTTCTACTTGATTTTATTCAGGCTTTACGCTCCCTTTATCAACAACTAGTCTCAGCTGCCCACCATGTTCAACAAACTTGCTACATTCCTTACACTCGCCTGCACTCTTTCGGCTGTCTTGCCGGCACCCATCCAACGCCGTGAAGTCCCGCAAGGTCCGTGACATGGCAGATCCTGTTCTTCCCATGCTGACTGTATCAAATAAATAGAGCACTCACACGAACAATTCCTGACCGCTGTGCGCACCAGCCTCAATCTGAACAACCCCGATGGTATCGTTGATCCCGTCTTTGCCCTCCTCGGGAATGCTGCTGCACAACAAGGTCTCGGAAGGATTGCAGTAAGCCCAGAGCTACCTTCACTATCCTTGGGAACGTTTACTTATTTTCCCTTGTCGCAATAGGATCCTGACTGCCTCCAACTTGCCACTGCTGACCGGGCGTTCACCAACGCCAAGGCTGCAGGAGATGTTGCTGGCCAGGTCGCTGCCCTGATCTACCGTGCTCTCGAGCGCAACACTGGCGCTGTCGGGCAGGCCAGTGTTGCTTGCACAAGCATCCAAGCTGTCAACCCGGAGATTGCTGCCCTACAACAGCATCAGGTAATATTCTCTAGAGTATTACTAGAGACTTAGCTTAATTTTTTTTTGTCCAACTATGTAGGACCCCGCTTCGACGAATGCCGCCGCCGTCAACAAGGCCATTACCCTCGAGCTCGCCAGGCAAATCGCTGCTGTCGGCGGTGATCCGCAAGACGCCCTCAAGTCCGGCACCTTCGCACCTGGCGACTTGAATGACGCCAGTGGCAGGGGGAATACGTGCGACGACCTCGATGATCCCGTCGGCTGCATCTTCACCAAGAACCTTCTTGTGCCTGACGCCACAGCTGCTGAAATAGACGCTGCCATTGCGGGCGTCAATACCGGCAACAATGGCGGTGACAACACGGGCAACAACGAGGATACCGGGGCTGGGTATGTGGTTCTTGTGCTGGGCGGTCTGATGTCGCAGTTGCTGACTACTTCTTTTCATTGAATAGAAATGACAGTCAATGCGCCCCTCGTAAGTGCTCCTCTTTTGCTCATGGTCGTCCTGATTCACTGACCATTCTCCCCGCTCCTGTAGCCACCACCGTCGTTGTGACCGTAACCGCTGAGGCTACACCAACTGCTGCTGCAACCACGACTGCTGCTGCCCAGGTCACAAATGCACCCGCTACCTCTGGCAACCTCCAGCGGTTCAATGGCGCCCGTACGTCAATCAAGGGTTTTTTTACTGATGGATATCATCTAACTCGCTGGCTTTCAGTTGGTGGTGCTGCCGCCCCTAGCGTCACTCCTGGAGGTCGTGGATTCCAGGTCGAGGGATCTGACTCTTTCCTGAACATTGCCGCTGCTCTTGGTCGCTCTTGCGATATTCAACACAACAGGTGCGCCAACCTCGCCAACTCTGCTGCTGGCAGGGCGGCAGGTCTCTCCGTCGGCCAATGCGATCAACAAAACAACGTCTGCCGCTCTCAAATTTAAATCGATACCACTTTACCCTCTTTGTCAATACCCCCCTCCACGTGGTTTTGTAGCACTTGGAATTGTTTCTCGCAGCGGTTTCTCTGGCCTCCTGAAATGCCTTGACTTCTTGTTTGATGGGGAGCGGCTTCATTTTTCTTTGCCTGATTATCTTCATGTATTCATACCTCGGTTTGCGTGGCAATAATAGAATAGCGGCTTTCACCTCGTCCACACTTACCTGAACGCTTGACTTTGCATAGCTTCTCGTCATCATGCGCTCCGCCGTCCGTTCCGACCACGGCTTTCTTATCGGATATTTTGTTGGGCATGCGTACAGGGACAGCGATAGCAGAGATGACGCAGGTGAACTTGAGCTGCTGATTTACAGTGACTGCGGCCAAGTTGCAACTACCTTTTTTTCTTGGGATATTCGTAATGTGATCTTCAAAATCAACGTGGGGCACGCACGTGGGGAAACGGACTTTTGTCCTGACACGCCCGCCCGCTTGTCCTCGATTTGGATTCCCTGCACCTACGAACGCACCTGCCTTGTACGTCAAAGTCCATGGCGGAGGCATGCGTAGCTGTCGTCCTTGACCGACGCGCTGTCATCTCTCGCCCTCTCCATCTGTTTTTTCAATATCTCCAGTCTCACTATCTATCAGCCTCACGCGGTCGGTACTACTACACCTCTTAATCTCAGCAATCTCACAGTACCCGGAATGGCATCGTATGCCCTGCTCGCATGTGCTCACTCCGTAACCGTGCCTCACAAGCATCCTCTCAGAAGCACTTTATAACCCCATGTTTCTCATGTTTTACAGGTCACCCACTGGACGGTCGCCTCCTCTGACGCCTTCTTCCTCCTGCTGGACGAGGTCATGGCCAGACTCTGTTCGCTGGTCTTCCTGTCGGCCTGCCTGGCTGGGGTATCATCGGTCTCCATCACCGACATCCAAGGCATCTCTTATCTCAGTCCGCTGAACGGGCAGACCGTCAACAATGTGACCGGCCTGGTTACTGCGAAGGTGAGGTCCTGTCGCACAGACCGCGTTCAACACTCACCAGCCATTTCGCCAGGCCTCAAACGGGTTCTACATCCAAGGAGAGAGGTCCGAGGATGTACGGGCGTCGAACGGACTCTTTGTCTTCTCCTCTTCTGCTTTGCCGCTGGTCAACGTTGGAGACTTCATCACGCTGAATGGACGCGTCTCCGAATTCCGGTCGGCGACGTCGCCCAACAATCTCTTCATGACAGAGATCGTCAGCCCGACCGACGTCGTCGTCCTGTCATCCAACAACACCCTCACACCTCTCATCCTCGGCAAGGACAGAAGTCCACCGACGCGTCTGCTCAACGCACTCGACGTCGGCCCAGATGGCTTCCTATCCGCACCCAACAACAGCAGCCTGATCTCGACGACCAATGCTACTCTTGAGCCCGACAAATTCGGCATGGATTTCTGGGAGAGTCTTGAGGGCCAGCTCGTTACCATTCCTCGCCCAACTGCCACCGGATTCCGAAACAATTTCGGGGAGTTTTGGGTTTATGGTGACTGGAAGGTAACTGGAAAGAACAGCCGTGGCGGTCTGACCATTAACTTTGGTATGTATCTAAACTCGACTGTCCCGGAATGTATTTAACTGACCCTCTCCTCAGGTCCAGGCGGTATACCGGATGGCAACCCAGAAGCTGTGATCATTGGAAGCCCTCTCGACAGGAGCAGCAATCCCCAACCCGTTCTTGGAGTCCGCCTGGCTGACATCACTGGTGTCGTCGCCTACCAGTGAGTTGTATCCACAGAGCCTGGGGACATACACTCAAAGTCCGTGTTCACCTTCAGATTCGGTTTCTTCTACGTTATTCCCTTGACTGCGCCCCAGATCATCTCAAGGCCCGACCCGACCATCTCTCCAACTTCCATCAAGTCCAGCCCGCGCGACAAATGCTCGCTCACCTTTGGCGACTACAACGTCGAGAACATGGCGCCGACCTCAGCGCACATCCCTGCCATCGCAAGCCACATCAGCAACCTCCTCCTGACCCCCGACATCATGTTCGTACAAGAGATCCAGGATAACTCTGGCCCAACCAACGACGGGACGGTTTCTGCTAACCTGACGCTGACGGCGCTGGTCAATGCGATTGCGGCGGTCAGCAATGTGACATATGCATTTGCGTCGGTGGACCCTGTTGATGGCCAGGATGGTGGACAGCCTGGAGGAAACATCCGGACGGCTTTCTTGTGAGTAGACCATGGTTTGAAAAGAATGTTTCGCAATGCTAATAGGTCCGTAGATATCGTCCTGAGAAGCTCTCTCTCGTTCCTGGAGCACCAGCTGGTGGCGCTCTCGATCCTACTGAAGTCCAAGGGCGCTTCCTCAAGCCCAAGCTCTCGTACGTCTTGAACACTTGTCGCGAAATTCCTCGCTGACGCCCCTCTGCCCTTGTTCTAGCTTCAACCCAGGCCGCATCGACCCTCTCAATCCTGCATGGGAAGCTACCCGCAAGCCTCTCGTGGCCCACTGGCAAACCAAAGATGGAAAGGACCTTTTTACTATCAACCTGCATCTAAGCTCCAAGGGTGGCAGCAGCTCTACCCAAGGCGACGCTAGACCCCCTGTCAATTCTCCCATTGCAGCGCGTTCAGCTCAGGTTACCTCCGTTGCCGTAAGTCTCCTCCCAAATCCGATGATGCTTAAGAATCTTGCTAATCATGACCTTCGTATATAGACGTTCGTCAAAGCCATCCTAACCAAGGACCCCTTCGCCAATATCATCGTCGGCGGAGACTTCAATGAGTTCCTCCAAACACGATCGGTGTACCGGCCTCTCACCAAGCTGCTGACAAGTATCGACGAAGTCGCCGGCGTCCCCGAGGTTGAGCGGTACAGCTACGTCTTCGACCAGAACGCGCAGCAGCTTGACCACGCCTTGGTCTCGGACGCGATCAAGTTTCGCAGGGCCCAGTTCGAGCACGTCCATGTGAACACCTGGTCGCCCTCGTTGAGCGCTAGAATTAGTGACCACGACCCCAGTGTTGGACGCATTCGTCTCTGCTAATCGTTATTCTAATACCTAATTGTAGCCTCAGAGCATAATATACCCTGCTGACAAGCGATGTGGAGGATGAAAAAGATGTGATGTCCATAAAGCCAATATGCAAGGACACGATAGTATATACAAGGTTGAGTGGACAACGACAAAAGCTAAAGCGAGCCGATCTAAAGGTGTGGGCCACAATAAGCTGGGAATTAGAAGGACAAAACCTAAAGGGCGACACCAACCCGTTTGTGGTTCCAATCATGAGGCTCATCCTCATCATCGTATATCGACATCGACGTTGTCGTCGGCATCCGTCTCGTCGACTCGCTCGTTTCGCTGTCTGGCGTTGAGGGCGGCATGTCGACGTTGATCGCGGGCTTGGTGTCGATGAAGTCGAACCGGACGTTCGAGTTCAACCGCGGAGGGCTGGCGGAGAAACTTGTCGTGTCGTCCGAGCGGCTTATGGGGTCCTCTTCGTTGATGCCGTGGCCGCGATAGATCTCGCGCGAGTTGAGCCTGGTAGGTTGGAGATTAGGAAATGAAGAAAAGGCAGAATCTTGGGCCTTGACTGACATTGTTAGAAGACTGTTGACGTATACTACGATGAAAGTTGTCAGGCTGACGCAAACATAAAGCTGGGAGCCTACGTTTGCTTGCGACGAGGTGGAACGGCATCCAGACCGGCGTTGAAGGCATAGCGGCGAACTACAACCAGAAGTTCAGCGACGTCAAAAAGAAAAGCGGGTCCACAGTCTTACGGTGAGGACGAAGCCTAGTTGGACGACAGTCGCCAGGAACCCCCGCGCCACGATATAGGTAACAAGAGCTTCATACAATCCTTTTGGACTAAGAAGAAGAAGAATTGGCATAATTGTTCAGGTAGAGAATGAAGAAACATACGGCTTAACCGCTGGATTCTGTGACGGGCGGAGGTAGAAGCACAGAGCGCCAAATGTGACGGTGCCGGCGAAGAAGATCATCCCTTGTGATGTCGTCACGATCGCCTGAACGCACGGAGTGAGAATCACGATGGACGATCAGGAAGGTTATTTTGGTCGTACCCTTGTTTGAGGATTGGCCAGTGATGCGAAGGCTCTATCAGTTATTCTACGAGACGTCAATTGAGCAACCGTACAAGAGAAGAAAACAAAGGGCGTACAACTTGATAGTCAACACTGTAGAGAGTGATTAACGCAACGAACACGAATTATACAGAATAAAACGCACCTAGTCCTAGTGCTAGCAAGCATGTCCAGGAAAATTAGCGGAGAAAACAGGAATTACTTGCTCCGAACGCACAGAAGCCGGTCGTGGATAATACGGCCTGAAAAAATTCGGGGTTAGGAGACATTTCCAAGCATAAGGGAGGAACTCACAATAGTAACGGCCACAATGCCATCCTTGCTCGCTAATGAGTAGGATTTAACAACGTCGGGTCATTTTGCAATTGATGAACTTGCCTTGCCAAACGCGATAAGAATAATAACCCGGGAAGTGTCATGTGGAAATGATCCTCACAGTTGCACAATGAGAACAACTAGGATCTGGACATGTGTGAGCTGACATTCCGGATATCGAGAATAAAGTTCTCTTACGGAGAAACCGATTTCCGCCTGGATGAGTTCGAAGTGTGTCAACCAGCGCA